GAAACATTCGGTCTTTGGGCTCCCATTCACCATCACCAAGTGAGCTGAAATCTCTCGTCCATTACATTTATTGATGGGCTTAAAATATGTAGCCCCTGTATATTTTGCCAGAAAACATCCAGGCCCATCTACTTCTGTAGAAAAGCCGAGTTTGTTCTGGCATGAAAGGTGCGGTGGCGCCCAAAGTGGTCGGTAAAGGAAAACAAGCTCAAGTAACTTCGCTTTGTAGTTTCTTCTTCTTCTTTTTGTTCCTTTTTTTTTTTTTAATATCCTGCCCTGTTGCTGCGTTATTGATTTTTTTTCAAAGAAACTAAAACTATTATTATAAATATCTTAACTCAAATCAAATTATGATATGCGAAATAATTATATCATGAGTGAGGGAACGGCGTGCTTAGTAAATTATTGGCGAAGATTTTTTATTCCTTAAATTGAAAAACGCACGCGCTTAATTCGCGGGGGTGAGAGAAACATATTTATTTCATGTTTTACTATACAAAACCAACCGAAAAGACTAGGTGCTTAGCTTTACGTACTTTTTGGCAAGTAAAAAAAAAATCCAATGAAATAGAAATAAGTAAATTTTAAACTAATGATGATATTAAGGGTTAATATAATATTTAGCCCCTCAAATTTGTTCTTATTTTAATTTTGGTTCTTCAAGTTTCAAACCATGAGTTTTGATCCCTTAAGAAGCAAAATAATTTAGATTTTTATTAAATTATAAGAATTAATATTTTAAATGAAAAAAAACTTGAACAACCAAAATCTATAGTTTGAAAGTTGAAGGACCAAAACTAAAACGAAGACAAACATAAAAGATCAAAATTTGTATTAACCCTAATATTAATAACAAAAATTTATTATAGAATTAAAAAAATCCACATGCCTTATTTAAATTGGAAATAGGTACTTTTTTTTTTGGTCAAAAAATTGGAAATAGGTACTTTAATTGTATATAAGTTTTTTCCAACACTAATTAAAAAAAGAAAAGAAAGAAAAGGCACAAATTGATTTGCAAATCGCAAGATCATCCTATAATATCGGGTCTCCATTTATGGTGTTCACTCGTAGGATGTACGGAATAGTTTCGTTCATGAATCATGACCCAAAAAACAAAAAACATACTATCCCTAATATAAGGTCTATTTAATTAATTTGATTAGATTAAAAAGTTAAGTAAATTAGTTAATTATAAGAAACATGACATTTTTTTTCTAAAACACTATAATCATTTTTCTTAATATCCTCCATCCGTCACTTATTTGACTATGGTTGAGGAAGTATCTATAGGGATAATTTAGAAAAAAAATTAATAAATATGAAAAATATGTCTTATATTTAGGATTAAAATTAACTTAATAATTAGATCTTATATTAAGGGCCGGAGGAGTATTACTATAAGAAACGAAGGTCTGCAGACTTGAGAAGGGTTGCAAAGAGCGCCCAAAAAAAAAAAAAGCAAAACACCTCAAGACACTAGCAGAAAACAAAATCACAAAGCGTAAACACAGCACCGTATCAAACGCGAATCCTAAAATATATAGCCACAAATAACAAATGAAACCAGCTGCCTAGTGCTGGCAAGAGAACACTCGAACAACGGCAGGGACGCCGGGGGGAAAAAAAGGTGATTGGTGGAAACATGCAGTCGGCCTCGTCCCTACAGCCACCACTTCAATTCTCAAACTCCACGCGGCAAATAAAGATGGAGCCAAAATCCCATGTAGAGGCACTCAACTATGACGGAGAGAGGCCTCGGTGGCCCTCGTGTCTTCAAACTTTCTTCCTCCCATCACCCATTACTTCGCACCATCCCTTCCCTGATTCCCTGGGCATTCCCATTCTCACTCATACAATGCCTCCCCTTCCCGCATTCAAATGTCCAACAGAAATTCGTCATCCAATAATTTACTTGGCCCCCGTGGATTATAATCGTCAATCCTATCATATAATCATCACCAATACACGTTTTTTTTTAAAACCAAAATCACCACTAATATGCAATATAGCCCTGTTTAGTATATTTATAATATCTTTTCCAATCGGTGGAACGAACGCCTTTACTCAATGAAAACTAGACATCATCAAACCTTCCAACGTATCATAGCACAACATATTGGGTCTGTAGAGATTACACATAAAAATACCGGGGCGGCACGTAAACAATGAGAATATGAAGGAGCGCGAACGATTGGAGGTTGAAGATGTAAGTACTGAAACTTTCTATAGAATGTACATAAATGAGTTTAATGAAGGGTTTTACTGTTTGGGAGTCAGTCTCCCCAGAGAGTCAAGTCGGTGGTAGTTTCGATGTCATCCCAGTTGAAGCCTCTCTGCAAGGCTGGCGGTGTGATGATCAACCCTTCTGCCATACTGTTCATGAGTGCAGGCATGTTAAATACCTCTTCTTCATCCCAATACATGCTCCTCGCCGCCGCGTCCCCTCCTTCTTCTAATGCTTCCGAGTACTCAGAGTTACAGTCCAGAGACAAAGCCGAGACGTTTTTCCCAGCATCGTCACCGCAGAGACGCTTCTCAGCCGCTTCCATGGCCGCGAACTGGATGGACCTGAGGGAGGAGGTGTGTGGATTAAGGGGCAAGGAGGAGGCAGCGTCAGGGAAATTCAGGGACGCAGAATCGCCCTTGAAAGAAAGAGCAGCGACGTCGTGGGCTATGGCAGCCGTGGCAGGGTTGGCAAAAGTGCCGAGCCACAAGCGTGCTTTGTTGTTGTTAGGTTGCCGAAGCTCGCAAACCCACTTGCCGTTTCTTTGCCTCACGCCTTTGTATGTTGGATGACGAGTCTCCTGGAACTTCTTCCTTCCAGCCCTTCGCTTCTGGTTCACCATTTCGAGAGCCAGAGTATGGGAGAGGCAGTTTACGTTGAACAGAGAGGTTGGGTTTCAGAAGGTTTTTGTGACTCCAATTAATTTGTGGAGACTGGTGTGGCCCATCTTTACACCGCTACCCCTTTGCTTTTGCGGCACCTGGAAAACGCGTTCGACGTGCGCTAATTGATGCCTCAGCGTAATTCTTTATGTTCCACGTGTAAGCGTTCCAAGTCTTTTTCTCAATGTCGCGTGCCGAAAAGGGGAAAATATGAACAACTTACCCTCCCTTTCCAAACGTGATCCTTCCTCTTTAATTCAATTTCTTCTTTTTTTTGGGTACATGATTAATTAAGTTTCTTTCTACTCTCTGGGCACATCTGCAATGAAAATAAAAAAGTCGTTATGACTCAGTTTTTAATGATTTAAATTTATTAAAGAATATCAACATCATTTCCAGAGAAAATTCATATTAATTATACATAATATTAGGAAACGCGTGTCCTCATCCGTTGAAAGCAAAAGCGTTTCATAGTGATATCTTCACATATTATATATTATGTAATTCTTATACGGAAAAAAAATAATGTATAATTGCCAATAAAATAAAAACGACGATCAGTATTCCTGGTTTCTTTAACAAAAACTTAAATAGTTAGGATTTGTTGTATTATGGGAGTATTTTGACACGTCCAACTCAGGACACACACTTTAATTTGTTCTCCCAATATTGTCACCCGAGGCAGGTCCTTCCAAATGTCAATATCATGACGCACAGGCAAGCAACACGCAAAGCGGTTTCTCGAATTTTCTCGTCTTCTCAGTTTCGGAGCTTATTTCGTGTTGGGTTCTTAACATTTGAAATACTAAAAATAAAGAAAATGGTGTACCGAGATAAGATTTAAAGGGGTTATGGTGGTGTAGAAATAAGTTGTGCAACGCTCGTTATGGAATTTGGAACAGGACAAATAATCATGGGAGAAGTCATGCTGCCGCAACAGTGAAAAGTAATGCCCAAGTTAGGTCGTTGTTTTTTTGACGTTCAAGTTAGGTCCGTTGTCTTTTGGCCAAACAAAAAAAGTTAGGTCCGTTGTGGAGAGCATGAGCTTAGTGAATAGTGATGGCGCTTTCGAACGGGAAACGCTCGTGTCAATTAAACGGTCACGTGGCGACGCACCCCCTCCCAGGTCGGTCGTCAGTGGTTTCTGTAACTTTTCACATTTGCCCCTTTTCAATTCAACAAGGCTGGTGTGGGCCAAGGGGATTTTGTTTCCCCACAACAAAAGAAGAGGTTGTTGATGAATATAGTCGCTGCACTTAACCGATACAATTAAAAAAATGATGCTGCCTGAATTCAGTTTTTTTCATGAGGATAAGAATAAGGTGAATTAAATTTCAGTTACATCAAGGCATATCTTATGATACCAAAAGCAATAACAAAATAGGCATAAAATGGAAATTTGGAATGAATTGAGAGATTTATATCTTCTAGCTGCTATATACTTGTACAGAATATTTTTTTTCAATTAATAATTTTTGGGCTTCTTATTTATACGTGAGTCAAAATAAAATTTTTCTCATATGCTTATTTCATATTTTCTAAATCACGAGTTAATGCTAAAAGCTCCAATGGCTATTCCAAACAAGCTTTTGGCTGTTGGGTGGGAGGGAATGTGTGGAAATGGGGTTTGGGGTGAGAGGAGAGAGAGCAACAAAAGGGCATTGGCTGTGGAGTGCTCATGGCCGATTTGTTGACGCCAATTGGAGCTGACGTTCCCATTGAGGTCAAGCCGAAATCATGATATTGCAGAACGCAAGAGAGGAGGCGCTGAAAGGTGAAGGCAGGGCGAACCTTTACGTTTTTCAAATTCTCTTTCCGCTATCCTGTCATGTTTATTTCTCCAACCCTTAATTAGTTTCAGATTGCTTCGCTTCACTAACATCTGTATATATAATTAATGTCCCACGTTTAGCTACTAACCACCCCAACGTGACTCGAAATGCTTCGTCAAAAAAGAGGTTCTCCGATTAAACAGGATAGTCACAGATTGCGGGCGTGAACCCCACTACGCCATCACGATTGGCTCGATGGACCTGTTTGGTTACAATGCGACATAAAATAAATCCAATGTACAAAGTGAACATCAGGACATGAGAACCTAGAAGGCCAACAATGATTTTGAAATCATATTCAATTACGCTGCAAGACTTGCAGCATTTCCCTGCCAGCTACATACACGAGTCATGTACATACTAATCTGCAACCCACACTAGCTTTGTTGGGTCATTTCTCTAACTAGCCTACTTCATTACCGTGTGTGTCAGATTGTATTGTACTCTTCTAACTAAAAGAATAAAGGTAATGCCTCATATTAAGTTCTCCGCATGCTTCCCAATTTACCCATTTCAACATACCATCACCAGCTCCTCTGAAAATTCTTCCACCAGAAGCCCCAAAATAGCCAGCTCCAGCTCCCCTGCCACCTCCTCCTTGTGCTCTTCATTTTTCTTCCATCCATCATCCTCTCTACCAAAGTCTTGTTGGATCATCATATCAATTGTTTTAGGTTCCAATTCTCTCCATAATTCCAGCTTCTTACAAACCCTTCTTATCACTGTTTCCCTCTCCTCCAAGGAATTAAGTTCTCTCTCTTCCTCCACAATGAGATCTGAAATCAGTCTCTTGTGGTCTTCCGGGATTCCTCGTCTTTCATGGGTGCTAGATTGGCAGATGACTTCTAAGACTAACCTGTTATAGTCCTTTTCTTCTGGTGTCTCATCGGCTTCCTCCTCCTCTTCTTCTAACATTCTTTTCTCAAGTTCAATTGGATCCAGTTCTGCAAGTTTCTCAAAACTACGAAGTTTGTACAATAGTTGCTGCTTTGCTCCTGTCGAATTAGCAGAAAAAAGAAATTAATAATTATAAAGACCTCTGTGCATAATAGTCTACTTATAATTGCTCAAACATTTATTCTAATTTTCAAATCAGCATATACAAATGATCAGTTATTGAAGTTACTTAAGAGTTATAATTAGAATATGTTATAAGGTTCAGATCTGGAGATAGCTAGTCAAAAATCAAATACTTATCTATATAGGTAGATGTACTTAATTGGTTACGTATGTCTGTCCAGACTCTGTTTCACCTTATCTGTACCAAATCATTTACTCGCCATTTATGCGACTCTGGTAGACAGGCTTAGCATCTATGTTGGTAGAAAATTTTTTATGCCTAAATTGAGCATGGGATACTTGTACTATTTCAAGTATATTAATGCAACACATCCGGCCAGCAATAGCTCTTACAGGTTCCACCACTTGCAAACCAGTAAAATAGGTAAAAAAATACACCAGTACTGAAGAGCAATAATGATTCTTTACCCTAAGTATTACTTGCTCAAATTCTACCCAACGCATTGAATGGAAGTAGCCAAATCAAGACAAAACTCCTTTATCAAAAGGGTGGGGTCGTGTTCAAATTTATGTTAGAAGACGGCCACGTCCACGTCCATAAGAGCGTATGACTTATGTTGTAATCTCTAAAACTTGAATGGCATAATAATCATATCAGAATGAGGCTACTCTACACATATATTAGATAATCAAGTCTGAAGATGAGTGTAGGACAATTTGTTGGAGGAAAACGACTGCGCAACAAACACCGATTGGTGCACAATTAAAATTTTGTGACATACTCTGTAAAGCGGCATAGCTGCACTCCAAATCAAAACCGTCGTCCTCATTGATGTTCTCATGCCCCTCGTCATCGTTCTCGAAGGGTTGGTCTAAAACAGAGACTGGGCTGCATTGCTCCTTCTCTTCCTCTTCCTCTTCCTCCCTTAATTGTGATTTCTCAACACTCTCCGTTCCATCCTTTTCTTTGTCCTGTTTTGCAATTCATAACAACCATCATTAGAATATTGTCCCAAACATTATTTGTCCTAATGTCAATGGATTTGGACCCGAGCCGGTGTCATAATTGGATTTGATATTGACTTCTAATTTGTTTTTATTTATTTATTTATTTATCACCAACAAAACGATTCTTGTAATTTAGACACGAATACGAATTATTTTCTAGTAAATCGAATGTCGGGGCGTAACAATAGAAAACAAGAGAAGAAACGAAAAAATAATTTGTCTTGTTTCAAGTAATTAATTCACTAGACAAGCCAGCGTAAAGTGAAAAAGATGCGATAAGATTTGCATGGAACACACAGGATCGGGAGACGGGAGGTACTGGTAGAGTCATGAAACCGGAAAAACCCAAAGCCCTGCAATACACTTATCTGACCCTTCACGCACAGGATCTTTGGCAAAATTTCCACCTAACTATGACATGGTATCAGTGTTAATCAACAGCAACATACCGGCCAAGTTTGTTGACCGAGATACTGTTGCCGACAAAAACGACCGCCGAACAAGCTCGGTTAACTCGAGCCAAGTCAAACCGGGTTGTTGCAATGTGAGTTGTAACATATTCGCCACCATAAAATAGAAGGATAAGGGGGAAAAAAGTGACAAACCTCTGCTCTGGGACGACTTGACGACATTAATTCCGGGGTCTGGTGGCCAGAAGAGGGGCTACTCCGTAATACAAAGCGAAAGGGGCTTTCGCAGAAGTCGTGATCACAGCAAACACAATCTGTAACGTGTTTCTGGTTGGATTCGGATAAAAGGTCAATATCGTGGGATTCATCGGAGTAGCTAGTGCTGCTGGATGTTTCCATGTCCAGAGATTTATCCTCATTGGTCTCAGACCATACAGCACTGCTAGGACGTCCATTGTAAGAACATGGAAAGCCCACCTGATCATTAGATACCATTTGTTCTTCATTTTTCTTGCTTCTGTCACCACCCCCATCTTGTATTTCCCTCTTTCGGCTTCGCGGCGTTAGTCTTTTGACTAGTGACCTGAATAAACCAAACCCATTTGTCTTATTGTGGGTTTTAGATTTAGAAGATGATGGATGTCTCTGAACTCGGAGAGCAGCTTCGAGAAGGAGTGCGGCCGTTCGAGAAGGGATATGGAGGAAGATGGCATTAGGGGACTTGCATGGGCTCTTGACCGGAGATGCGAATTCCAGGAATGGCGAGCTTAAGAGATCAGGGGTGTTGCGAAAGGAGAAAAAGCAAGCATTTTTACAGAAATCAGGGCTGAAGCTTGAGTTGTGATGATGGATTGGTTTTGGTTTCTTAAGTTGCAGAGTAGTGCTGGGCGAAGGCCTTTTCGTCAGCTGGCTCCGCCTATCAGAAATGTACTTGTTTAATAGGAACGGCTCTTGATCTTCCTTGAGTAGCTCATGTAAATGGCGAGCCATCATGAAATTGAAAACAGTATGTGTGGCGGCTAGAGGTGGGTGCGAGAACAGAAACGTGTAATGCGGAGCCAGAACAAAGCACTCTGGTAGTTGTGAGAGGTGGAGGGTTCAAATAAGGTCCATTGCCAGCTTATACGGAGAAGGAAGGAGGAGACTTCCTGATTCAAATCTGGGCTTGGGTTAAAATATCGAGGCAAGATGGGTGGGTGGGGTAAACCGGTGATTAACGAATTATTATATTATTTTAAAACAATAACATATTCGGGAGTCACTTGTCTTTATCCGGGTACAATGAATAGAAAATAAATAAAATTTGGTGCAAATTGTAGGTGTTATGGAAAGCCCGGGATGGAGGAGTGTTTTATGTGGTCTCTCTCTTCCGCACTTCGGAAGGGAACTGCTCTTCACAGCATACGCGTACCCGCGGGTGTGTCAGAAAACAAAAGCAGACCAGAGGGAGAGAGATAAATACTGTACTATACAAGTTTAGATTCGTTCACTAACAAAAAAATCGATTACCAACGACAGATATTAGAAATTTAACCTTTGTTATTTCCGCCTCCCCGGCCGGTTTCCTTCTGCTACAGACTGACAGCTCTAATTATCTTGTCATTACTGGTTACTACACGACAGATCCTGATATTAGTGCTATATTATTACATAGGCACATGCCTTCATTAATAAATCCATCATAGGATATGGTTCCTTGATTAAAAAATTTTCTACTGTCCCTCCCACCTCCTCTGTTTTTTCTTTTTTTTTAAAAAAAAAACGTCTCTGACTCCCGATTAAGATTGTGCGCATTTTGACTTGGCAATCTGTTACTAAAACATTCAATTATATGTACCCAAAAAAAAATTCAATTATAAGCCCAATTTATGACACATTATTACTTTCACATTGGCATATGTTGCGGTAGGTCCTGGACTCTTGGTATATATAGCAGCAGGAACAATGTCGTCAATAATGGTGGCAAAAATTTTGCTTGACGAGGGACTAGTTTTGTGCAAAAACATTCTCAATAATGATGTTAGTTACCGAAACACTTGCTTTACAGCTGGATAAAACATGATTTGAAAATAAAAAATAAAAACATTTGCGGGAAAACCTGAGCTTTCGACGATCTTGATCCTAAGCCGAAGACGTTGAGGGCAATTGAGGAGAGAAGGTTGGGAAACGTGGGGGCGGCATGGCACTAGAGCCCAAACGGGAGCTAAACGACGAAAACAGGGGCGTGGCAACTTGCTATGCCAAATTCTGGTTCAGCCAAGAACCAGATCTTCATCTTTTTTATTTTCCTTTCATCACTTGTTGCGGACTATCTTTATTGGCTTCTTACTCATGTACTTATACTGAGGAACGATCGCTCCCAACCAAAAATGCAGTGACTTAAGAGGCCCCTACTGCTTATTGCTGCATCTCTCCTGGCTTCTCTACCTTTTTTTTTTTTTGAACTGATAACCTGTTCAGTCCTTTTCCATTTCCACTCACCTTCACCTTTAATTTAAATTTCAAACTATGCCCATGCATGCAGATGTTCTCAATATATATAATATATAATCTCTGGGAGAAAGAAACATTATGAAGTGCATGTACTATGTTTTCTATATTTATATATACGTACATATATAAATTATCGGGGCTCATGTGCTGTGCCGAGGGGCGTTGGGAGGAGCAACGCGTGACGCTCCCCAACACATGATATCGCAGTATCAGCGTTTACTCGCTTTTTTCTTCATCAGCAAATGCAAAGCCTTGTGCTTCGAACGGACAGTCAAGACTTTTTTAACCAAAAGGAAGAATGTGGGTGTGTGTTTGACGTACGAGTGTCATCGCACGCTTTCACTATCATCCCCAAAAGTAAAACCAAGTCAATTGCGTTCACACAAAACACATATGGCAAGGCTCTCGCCTCCCGGCCTGCAACTTTTGTAATTACTTCTTGAGTAATAGTACATCTCTTTTTCACTTGAAAAACAAAAAATACATATGGCTCGTGCTTGCTTGTTCTGTGACTTTGTGTGTATGTACCTGTCTCTACTCCTGTTCCTGTCGCGGGGAGTGAAATGGCACCTTCTCCCGGCCCTCCCTGTCATCCTCTTTTGTTCCTGAATATGATGTTAAAGCACACAACCTTCTTGCCTCAGTTTTACCACATATACAGTATGGCTGTGGCTGTGTCCGACTGATATCATTTTAATCGGACAAACAGGAATATAATTAAAGACCGAAAACATTTTAGTTATTGTGGTCATGACAGAAGTTACTGCTATAATCGTCGCTTATGTTAAGTATGAGCCGTTTCAATTCAAGTCGTCGCTTTTAATTAACTCTTACGTACATCCATGTTAATGTTGCCCCAACAGGATTTTAAAAACGTATAATTAGCTGTTTGTGCCGGTAATTCAAAATAAAGTTTTTTGATTTCCACGAAGACTCATGTTTCTGGTTGAGTATAAACATACAGGAACGTGCTTCCTATTTGTTTGGTTACACGTATACTTTACAGGGAAAGATACAAGAAAGTGTATCGAGTTAATCAAATAAATTAAACAACCGATAATTTAATTAACGGGTTTGGTGCACGCCCATATTGACTCCAGAATTGTATTACTGCACAGACAGAAGAAGAGCGCACACAGATATATATATATATATATATATATAAAAGAGTTAATGTTAATGGAATGGCTTCCGGCGTTCTATATATATGTATATATGAATGCATCCACGTTGACGTGTCACCAAATTTAATCTTGAAATCTTCAAATCGAGGTTGATGTGCACATGCTAAGTATCAATTATGCGGGCATTAAATAACAAGAAGATGCGCATCCTAGTTAGGTGATACATTGCTGATTGCTGATTGTTGCAGGTTAACGTAAGCCCGGAGGCCGACAGCTCCAATTTGTAGTTTTGTATGACGACATATATAATACAAAGTTACTTGTCTGCTGCTTGTTGTTGATGAAGTAGCATACCTGGGTAATTAACGTCTTTGCCCTTCACATGATCCTTAGGAATATCAGGGGTTCTCCACTAATTTTATCTGAGTTATGATTAATTGCACGCCCCGCGCCACCTATCTGTTTGCCATGAGACGTGGAAAATAAAGGGGGTGCTCAGGACTACGTGTAAAAGTGGCACTCCTAGCAAAAAAACAAAACAGAGGGAAGATAGTTGATCAGAGATCATGATGGTGAGGAAATCCAAAGTGGCCCCATGCATGGCGATCACAGAAGGTCCTGGTAAAACGACGGTGAGTTTAGGCCGTGCACCGTCATGGGGGGAGTCCATTTCCCACGTGTATAATAACAGTGTTGAGGGACGACCTCGTCCACGTGTCAGGGTCTGTCTCCTGACGTGGCACTTCTACCCCTTCCTCCTTCAGCATAGGATTCCCGTCCCCCTTCTGTGATCCATGCCAAAATCCTTGCTTCATTTTATATTATATTCCTCGATACCAATGATCTTCCCTTCTTCCATTACTCCGGTAGTCCATTTGGAAAGCTTCAATCAACCTTTATTGTTAATTACACGAAACTATATTTATCACAATTTTCACCCCTCTTCTCGTCACTGCTTCATTGATTGTTCGATGAAATTTAGCTGTGGGCGATTATCATATTATTCGTATGAAAATGATAAGGGATTAAGTTTTGAGACGAACTCAATTCGCAATATATGTATATATAGTTAAAGAGTTTGACTTTTATATATATAGACTGGGTTCTAGAAAGAGCGCACGTGGGAGAATGCAGCTAGAGAGGAAAACAAAATCGCTCAAGAAGAGAAATAACGTATGGTCGTGGCAATGTGAGATGGTGTCAACTTGATATGAGCAACAGCTAGCTAGCATGTAAATGTCGAGCAGGGTTGTCTGTATCAGGCCACTAGTTAGTGGCTACGCTCCAAAACACGTCGGGCCTCCCCAAGTAGAATGAGATGCGTGGGTTAATTCATTTGCAGTGTCCGTATTGTATATTTGTGTCGTGCGGTGCAACATCAGGAAAGCGGAGAGAAGATGCGCGAAACAGTGGTAATTTTATACTGAAAACAGGTCTCTCTGAGACCAGACAAGGAATCTCGTGCAGTGTATTAAATTTAGAATCGACAAGACGGTTGAGGCAGAATAATGGTTGCGCAGAAGAGGTTCTCTTCACGTAGCCACTGAAATGGAATTGGATATTTGGCATCACGAATCCAGCCTCAGACATGGAAATGGGATTTTATATGATACACTGTGCTTTCTGCATAATGGCAGTATTCATAAGAGTGAGATTCAACCCCTTGGCACTGGGCAGTGATATGTACATATTATGGCACCAATCATGAGACCATGTCGTTTCGGAATGTTCTTCCATGCCCCTAAATAAATGCCGTGCCATCGTTTCCTTCGTCTTTACCCCACACCCACTTAATTTGCATCAAATAAATAAATACACAAACCCCCGTCTGGCTTCGTTCACATCATAAACCCCTGTTTGCCGTTACCTCTCTATCCACACTGACGTCGGAAAACTGATTATCAATATTTTCACGTCTTCGATTGGATTCTTAATGAGAGCGTCGCCAGTAATTAATTTCTACAGTTCAAGATGACATCGTGTGATTAAATATACAAAAAAATGATTCCTCATCGTCACATATAATGCTGAATAATTATATTAGTCCTATGTTTGTTTAGAATAGCTAGCTACGGGGTGGATGAAATGGAATCCGATGTGTGGCTTCGAATCGTTAAATCGTGTAAGGAACCGTGCGGGATGCTTCTCCCTGACCCTTGATTAATCAGCAAGATTCCTTCCTACACATCGTCAATCATGGTTAAATGTCAACTGGTAATACTAGTAATTTATAACACGTTGCTTGTTATGTACTAGTGATCCGGTCCTAATTATAAAACCTTGTTTGTAGTCATACTTGTTATATACTATTGATCTGGTCCTAATTATAAGACCCTGTTTGTAGTCTACAAACAGGGTCTTATAATTAGGACAGGATGAGTAATATATAATACTTCCTCTCTTCTTAATATAAGAGCTGGTTTGACTTTTATTTTAGTCCTAAATATAAGATCCTAATAATATTTGTCTCTGGTATTTATTATTTTTTTCAAGGCAATTCTTATTATAACGGCAGATATGGCCAATACACTTGATTAGTAAGGATATTTTAGAAAAAATAATACATATTTATTACAAATAACTAACTTAACTAATTTTCTTAATCTACTTAAATTAGTCAACTAGTTTTATATTAATAAGTGGAGGTAGTATTAGAAATATAAGATTTTTTAATAAAATGCAGGGTGATTCCTCTTCCTTTGTGACCAATGACATGGACACGACTCAGCATCGGCAACAGCTGGTAGAAAGGCAAAGTCGCCAAGCTATATGGATTAGTTCAAGGTGATTAGAATCTCATATTCGGGCTTCGATGGTAGGCTTGGTGTCATCTTTTTGGGTCCGGGCAACATATGTTAAAAAAAGCCCAATGGAAGTGTGGGTAAAGAGGATAATTTGGGTTAGTTGGGCCCATATTATGGTGAATGATATATGCTGGTGTAACCCACCCCTTCGGCAGCCGCAGCGGGAATGGAGCCTCTCAGCTTATAGTCGAAATTTGATACAGGGAAGCGCGAGACTGGTGAGAAAAGACGCAAGGGTTTCCCGGGAAATAGAAGCGACCTTATCTATCAATGTTGAAAATGAATGATATATATATAATCAACAATTTATGCACACCGTTGAAGTCGCCGTCGTCATCCTAATGAGTCAGTCGCTCCTATATATCGCTCGGCTTTGACACGTCATTTTGCGACATTTTCGGCATAACCCCCAAACGCCCGCATATTTTAAACACGCTTCTTATGGGACCTGACAGTGACTTCTTAATTTTCATAGGGTCGCCCCAACCCCTTTACCACCCTCCCATTATGCTGCCCTCCATCCCATCGCTGCTCCTGATAAATATGGCCTCTCCACTATTACACATTAATCTTGCTCTCTTTCAATATTTTTTAATCCAATTTCTCAGTTATGACCCTTTCCTCGTCAAAAAAACAAAGAAGTTATGACCCTTTCCAAATAATGAACTTTAAAAATTTTGTACATTAATTAAAAACCTTAAATTTCCGGTGCCCATATTAGATTTTCGAGCAATTTATGTATACATCACCCTGTTTGCTAGTTCGCATTTTTCGCCTGTGAGGTGATATTTGGTGATTGAAAGTTAAGAATTCGGCGGACTCACGAGAGTAGAGGGAAAAAACAAGGATGAGAAACTGTGTTTTCTATTTTTCAATCTGTTTGGAATGAAAAATTGTGGGTATTGGTATTAGCGAGGGAAGACTATCGAAAAACGATGAGTGTAGGAACATGGAGAGGAACTCGCTAGAACCTAAAAAATTGTCTACCTCTCTCGACAACCGATAAGATGATTGGCCGTTCAACGGTCTTGTTATTTTCACGTACGAGGCACCACCGTCCGCGTGCCCCCCTATCTCTCCGGCTGCGCCCATCTTCTCAGTGCATTTTATGTAATGAAATGAAATGAAATCGCAAATTAATAAAATACACGTATTATTCCGTTTAATATATCAATCATCAATAATACTATAATAGGGTTGTAGCCGTTCTTGTTTAGTATTTCTCCGATCATAAATATAAATGAAGTTTACCTAGTTATACTAGTATATCGATAAAAGAAAATGGTTGAATAAAAACTGGTTCATTAAAGATATAAAAAATTGGTTTATTTTTTAAACATTCCATTAATTACTTGTGATGTTTAACTGCACATAAGAAAAATTTAATGTTCTAGATATTTTCAAAGTATATTTAAATTTTGAACCAAAAAAAAATCTTAGAAAATGGGCTTATACTGTGGATATTGTGAGTGCGAATGAGGCAAAAACAGTTTTTAAGAGAGGGTAACAGTAGGATTTAAAATATGGATGCGGTGGTTTCAAAAATAACAATAACGGATGATGTGGCCTTTTCTAAATATAATGTTTGGAATGGGATTGTAATGCCGGCTGTTCATCCGCACCTCCTTTTCATTAATTGGTAATTAATCTGAGGTGATTTGTCACATTGGGACTCCCTAATACCTTTTCTTTTTTATTTTGGTTCAGCCAACGGTGGGACTCCCCAATACTAGTGCTCCTCACTTTTGGCTGCCCAAAAATTTGTCTTACCATAATAAATTGGAAATGATAAGTATGTGATGATACGTACATGTCAGGAGTCAGTTGTTGCCCTCAAAGCCATTTACAATCATGGCAAAGTAAATTCTACGGCTTCCTTTATCCCCGCACGCCTTCCTCCTGTCCTTCATTTTTCATTCCTCTTCTTATTTAGTTATTTTATTCATTCTCTCCCACATCTTGCCTTCTCCGGCTTTACCCTCAGTCCCATTATTCATGACCCATCATTGATCACAAGTTTAGATCCGCTGCAAATCAAAGAATTTTGAGCACACTTCTCTGATGACCTCACAATATACCATGATTTGGTTCAAAATATAAATTCAGCTTCGTAATATTTAAAGCATTTAATGTTTGCTTTTCTGCTTAGAGCAGTTTGATGAGTAATGTTTGTTGTTCAGTTTGTATGATTAACATGTAATATTGACTTCTGTGAAGGGCATATCAAAAAAGAAATTAAATAATTGAGTAATTACTCATACAAAAAAGTAGAATCATATCTATGATGTTCTGACCGAAACAAATCATTCTACCGCAAACACTGCACCTGCGCAATTCACTTATTACAGTACTGAGATGGAAAATTCCACCGTAACATCACAGTTTGTTGGACCAGGGAGCAAAATTAGAATTACATCAATAAATTAAATTAAAAATAGAACAATACAAAAGTGAATTGAAGGGTAAAACCAAAAAACAAAAAAAATGATAGGAGAGTGCAAGCGTATTTAGTTACAAGCGTGTTTGTAAGGCGGGTATGGGCCCTCGTAAATTAGCTAATATGCCATCACATGTTACTGAGAAAACAAACATTAACACCAGAAAATTACACAAGCGCAGACACAATCATGCATATACTACGTTATCTTTTTCATATACCGCACATTCCTAATCACGGATCATTAGCAGTTGCCTAACTTGTGTGCATCGATTCTATGTTCTTGCTCAGCTCCTCCAGCTTCTTCATCCTCGTTCTTTCACTTTCGCCCACCAGCTGTTGATTTGATGGCAACCATTCCCAGCAAAACCCAGAACAAACACAAATGAATTCGCATATAAACATATATACCAATCTTTTACAGGCACAAGATGATATAAAGATGACGCTAATTACCTCCATTAACCTGGTGATTAGCTGTACTTTTTCCCTGTTCTTTTCATTGAATGCTTCAAGAGCTTCTTTATATTCTTTCTCCTGCAAAATGTAGGAATTTACTGAGTTATATATTGCTATCATATGCATGAATAGTTTACAAAAATTTCGTTGTTTGAGTTCCCCTCAGGCTTAACCTTCTTCTGGCAGGTATGGCCAAGCGGCTTTAACTCCTTGTTCACTGAATCAATCCTTTTCCGTACCAGTGCAACCTCCTTCCTCATCGGATCTGATAGAGCCTCAAGCTCCTGATATTCCTCGAAACACGATAAATCAAGAAACTACAGATCAATATCTTTATGCATAATTAGGATCGCATATATATACATATAATCCCTGAGGAGCTCAACAACATAACTTTTTTCCTTCTGATGGGAACGGTAGTTCTTCCATTCGTAAATGGCATAAAACATATCAGAAACTTGATGCATGACTTTCAAACATCAGAAACTGCTAAACTGAGGGAGCGACAAATTTTTCAGAAAGCAAATGCGTCAATTATTAGGTTAGAAGCCTAGGACGCTGTCCTGCAAGAAGAATATGCAAGGCAGTCCTGTATTCCATCAGATGACTTTTGCCATCAACAAGATCAAACTTTGAATTTGATTTATCAAGACCGGAAGGGAAAAAACAAACATCCCGGCCACAAACCCACAGATCGGGTATATTCGAGTGCCTCCGAGATTCTGCATACCTCGGAGGTTCTCCTTGTCAATAGATAACACGTTTTTTTCAGAAATTATGAATTGAGAAAAAAGAGGAACTTTCTTGAATCAGGAATATCTAGCCGTTATAAATCAACATAATTACATAGCTCTGTTAACGCACCAACTTATTTGTTCGGCAGGCAGAAAAAAGGTGCTGAGTTTTCCTCACAGGGGAACAAAAACATTCTCCAACCAAGGCCATTGTTGGCCCATTTTTTCCCCCCCAAAAAACAAAGGCCGTTAAAATGGCAGGGATGACGATGAGGAGTTTAGAGTTCAGACTTCAGATCACTCATATGTGGTGAACTGTGGAACCCCATCAATAAAGCTAAATGAGTTGTTCAAAAAATACAAAGACGTTGCCTACAAACTGAAAAAAAGGAAAAATTGCGAGGAAATTAAGTTAAAGGGTAATTAGCAAGAAATTAGCATGAAATCTAGAAAAGCCGGTATATATGTGGAGAGAAGTGGGTGAGATACCTCACGAATGGTGGCGAGACGCTTGGTTTCTTCCTCTACTCGACCCAACTGGGCCTGAACCTTCTCTCTGACCTCCATCTTCTTGCGTTCAATCTCTTCCTCTTTGGCTCTGAAGGTAGACAGAGCAGACCTGGACATCTCCTCATCTTCCTTAGACAAATGGCTGCTGAAGCTAAGGCTTCCAGAATTCTGAACAACCAGCTGGTTCTGTTGCTCCGTCTGCATCTTTTCTTTTCCCAACCCTTCTTTCCTCTCTTAGAAGAGCTCTTCTTCTTGCTTCAATTCCTGTCTTTTATTATCCTCTCTTTTCCTTGCTTTGTTTGGGGATAGCTTTCTCTTTTTTCGCTTTCGCTTTATCTTTTTCCTTTGCGGTTCGGCACTGAAATGATGAGCTGCTCTGCTCTGCTCGCTTTCTCTGTTTTTACGTTGTGAGTGCGCTCATTAACCGGGTTGGATTGCCCTTCTTTCCAGCCCGCGACTCGGCTTCCCTCACCTTCGCTGACCCGAACCAACATTACTTAATTTTTTAGATTGCCAAATTTGTTGAAATACAAAAAAGTTATTATAATAATTTCAATTGAAATTTAGACGTTTAACTCTCATATACTATTATTTTTAATGGTTTTCAATTGATGTCTTTGGACCTAATTATTATTGGATAAAAGTATATTCAAGACCGTAGAATATTTTTAAAAATACATTTAACACCTCAAAATGTTTAGTGGTTTAATATTGTCCTTTAAATATTATTCAGGAACAGTATGAAATCTTGATTAAAACAAACAGGTATATGACATGTATGGACTGTCGTTACAAAGTAAAAATGCTTTCGTGTTATACTCGTCATAATGCGACTATATATTAGTTGTTTTTATGATTATAAAAGATTTTGACTGTGATGTGTGTCGTGTACATATCTCGGCCAAGGGGCATGATATAGATGCCGTTTTCCCAGTTGTTCAACAAATAATAACCATTCCGGGCAAAAAAAATCAGATAATAACAACAAAGTCGATTAACCAAAAAAGACAAAAGAAAAGCGGGTGGCCTGTTCCGTCTCACATGTCACACCCCATTGCCTCGGCTCGGCTAATTGGCCCCTTCCGACACATTTTAACAAATAAAAATAATAAAATAATTATAACGTCGTTCCACACCCAAAGTGCCAACGAATCACTGATAACAAGGCCAACTGAGAGGGAACATACGGGACAATTGCTCTTTAAGCACTTTTTACTGTGGATGAATTGGTTGTAACTAATATCTGATTATAATCCTAAAAGTAGAAATTAACTATAACATGACTGCTTGAGTTGTAAAATTAAACGTTGAAAATAATTTATCTCCGATTCTCCCACAGCTCTAACAACCGGATTCCCCTCTTTCCAAACTATAACTAGTACAAACATATCCATCTTCAGCACCACGGCGTCGTTGAAAGAATTAATTTAACATCTGAATTCAAGTACCGTGGCTGATTAATAAAATTGATTTTATATAGGCTAAGAGGCCCAAAAAAATTAAAAACAAAAGAACAACAACAACAACAATGTGGTGAAGTATTGACTTTGATTAGTGATGTGTAGATCAGAATTAATCAATAACGTGAAATGACCGGATGATTATTAAAATACTGATAGCACAGCTTCAATTTTTGCCCCAGGAAAAAGAGCCGATTTAATCTGAGAAATTTTGCCATTATTGTTTAAGAAATAAGCCACAGTAATTCCTTCTTCAGTTTGGATAATTCTATGCAGCTGTGGGTTCAAATATTGCTCTCACTCCAGCAGTAGTTAACCTTAATCAGGAGTTGGATAACTTTCTTGGAATTAATCATGGCATCCCATGAGGGGGAAAAATCATGGCATAATATCAAAGCATGCATGCGGTCATTTACAAGGTTGACAACTGGTTAGTTACAAATAAAATATAATGAGTGCGAGAATCAAAAGTTCAAATAATACTCATATGTCACGAAGCGTCAAAGCATGCAACAAAAGACAATAGTAATTCCTAATACCATTATATCCGGGACGTATAATTAATAGTAAGCTAGTATTATAGTTTAATTTAGCTCCGATTAATAAAGTTATCATTCTTGTTGTCAATTATTTCTATAAACGAAGCATCGATTGTTTTTAAAAAAATAAATTATCATCGATCTCCAGTGGAATGAACGATGAAGATTAATTTAATGATCGCTATATTCAAATAAAAAGTAAGCCGCAAGCTCATACAGTCACCATATTACGTTTTAATAAAAGGGAAAATTTATGGGGGAAAAAACAGCGATGGGGAAGAAGTCTGGGCACATATGTATAAAATGTCACTATATCAGCAAGCACCGCAAACCATGTGAGGCGCATCCGTGTAGTTGCATTCACAGGATCCAAATATCGTTTTCCGTTATTTTTGGCAGTTAGATCCAGACCCCATATTGCAACTACTCCCCCCTTCTCTCTGTTTTTTTTTTTTGGAGAACAAATTTGGATTGAATTTGTCCAGATAATTAAGTCACATGGCCTTCGTGGCAGGCCCCGTTGCAGAAATTAATTAAATCGAAGGAAATAATAAGTATGACGAGAATGCGGTGGAGAAGGTCAGAACTGGGGCGGACAAAAAGGATGAGCTGTTGGGAGCAGCGAGGAACAACGCAGGCTGCGCGACCTTTTGACAAAATATCATTTGCTTTTCCGCAATGGGCCTCTCCCAAAGTGATTCTGGATTTCTTCTTCTTTACTTATCTCCAGATTCGTTGCTTGCCTCCCGGACTTCCTTTCTAATCGCTGCCTCAGCCTGTACTTTCACTACACATTTCACATACTACTATTATTATATATCTGCGCGTTGCAAACAAAGATGATGGGTGTGATTTAATTATAAAAGTAATGGAAGGATGGGTTGGGGTGGGTGTCGGGTGGGGGACCAGAGTGGAGTGTCGTGTGATGAACTGATAAAAGAAATTAGAGTGCGAGAGAGATGAAGAGGGCAGTGAGGGAATCCAAGGGGGGAGATCATGAGAATCGGGGGGTGGAATCTCTTTTCGGGTGGGGGCCGTCTCTCGTTCTCTCTTTGGCGGTGGGGCCCCTCCTCCGCGTGCCTTTCTTCAAATCAACCATTTCATTTTAACCGGCACAAATGCCACCGCGTTGCCATTTGGAGTTTTATGGCGATGGTGGGGAATTAAATACGGCGTTGTTTTGCGTCACCCTGAGGTGGCCTCCTCCAGTGTTTCCAAAATTCTTAATTGCTGCTTGGCCTCTCCCTACTAGAATTTAGCGCGCGCGCACACATCACCCACCTCTGCTTCTTTCCTTTGTATTTTGTAATATGCCCTACCAACTCACACCCACACCCCCACACAAGTTTCGTGGTCGCTAGCCGTTACTCACCCACATGCCACCTGCTCCTTTCTCTCTCAATTATTTGTTGCCCACCCCGTGTTCATACATATTCCGCTTTTGTCTCTTTCTGTTCCTTTCTCACATTACTACCCCATCGCCCTGCCCCATTCTATTTAACCAGTTTGGAGGCTTCAGCCGCGCAAGACAAATCTGAAATTCAAGTCTCCTCGCACGTTGTGCCCCTCGTTGCTGCCAGGACGGTTGAGGCCAAAATGATTTACTGTCAAATAGCCGAACGAAGACATGATCAAGATTGGATGGAAGGGCCGCCGGAAAAGAGGGGGTGGGGATGGATCTTGGCAGTGACAGAAACAACTTCTCCAAAATAAGGTTGACGTGACGGCCGGTGCGGGAAGTCAAGCTTGGGTTGAAAAATAAATCAAGAACCAAATGCATTGGCAGGCAGGCCGCAAATTCAACCACGCGTGGGGGCAACCATCCGGCGTGAAGTTTGCGGTCAATGGGCAACAAATAATGAAGGCACCCCACTTTTCCGACATTGTTTCGTGTCTATGCTTTGATACGAGCAACAACCACTGGATTTAGTCCGAGTCAACCATGAGTCGTCCTCAGTCTGAGCGAATTGCACCATCCTCATAGTCTAGTGACAAACAGTCACACAGAGATGATCTCAAGTAGTAAATATGGGGTATGGTGCAGTTAAAAGACAATGATCGCAGCCTTTTTTGGGTGGTGGGGGAGGACTTCGTCGAGACTCGAGAGTGCGATTGTTCGGCCCAGATTTTAAGGAAAAAAAAAGAAAGAGAATTAAATAGGCCTGCATCTCGAGTTTTTGGGCTCCTAAGACCGTTAGGAAGAAATTGTGGGCGGATACCAAAGGTGTGGGGTATTTTGTATTGCCGGGCCCGAAGAAGAAGAAGAACAAAAGATGAACAGTTTATCTGAACGTCTTTTTTTGTGGGTGACTATTTTTCTGAACACTTTACTGGAGAGGGGGACCGTAAACTGGAATAGTGGCCCGGCCCAATCTAGTCCACCTTACTATCCGGTTAAATGGGCCCGTTGAGTTGCATACCGTGCCCGTTTCATCTGGGAAGAGCTTCCAGGGCCCGGCAGGATTTTCATTCATTAATAGCCTCGTGAAATAATTCGAAATTTACTCATATTTTATTAAGCGGTTCTTTGATGTGAATGAAATACACCCACCTGATGTGTGTTAGTTTATCCGAATATAATGATATATGGGATGATAAATACACACACACACATATATAGCAGATCCTTGATCATACGATAAAGAGGTGTACTAGTAGAGTATTGCATGAAACCTGGTAAAAGGAAGAATATAACTGCTTGTTATGAGCTGGGGAAATTGTTGTTTAGATACGTTGTTGGGGAGTATCAGTATGCACGGAGGGGGAACACAAGGGAAGCAAAGGCTAATAATGAGGGAGGATGTTTTTAATTGAGCAGGGTGCGTTGAGAAGAACGAGAGGATGGGGATCTGGCATTTTAAATATGCGTGGGGTTTGCAGAGTTCCAAAAATTCTTCATGTGTCGTGTTACTCGATGCAAACAGAGATGACATCACCATCTTTGATTCCTCCTCAATAATTAACTAAACGCCCCCCGCTCAAGCCGACGAGCCTCCTGTTACGGCTCCCTCCACGCCGTTTTTATCTGTTCATTTATGCTCCTAGTGTTTTTCTCTTAAAAAGGAAGAGGGAAGGAAAATATCGAGGGGAGGGTCACGTGAAGGCACGTGAGCGTGGGTGGGATTGGCGTGCGGGCGTGCGTAGAGAGAAAAGGTGAGGGCACCCGAAAAATGAAAAGAGTGGGGGGTGGGGTCCACGTGGGCGCTGTCTCTTGTGAGGCAGTCAGTTGGTGCTGACTACTTCTGACACTTACTGACATGATGTGTCAGTGATGTATTTCCCTCACATGTCCTCTCATGTGCTTTCCCTCTTTTCTCTCCTTTCCCCCAGCCCCTGCTCTCCCCGCTAATTTTTATTACTTAATCACCCCCCTTTTATTATTTAATTTAAATCATGCCTCCACAAATACACGTGATCATGAATTTATTCTCATGGGTTTCAAAAATTCCAAGGCCATTTACAATTAAGTAGTGAATGGCATCTCTTTCCCCTGGATCTCTTGTGAATACAATCTCTTGTTCTCCATTTTTTCCCCCTGTTTTAAAAAAAATTAAAGAAATTTGATTTGCATTTTTTTCCAGTTTGCTAAAAACTCGTGTTGGGGAATTTAGGTAAGTAGGGAATTAAAGCGGGGATAATAAAACAAGAATAGCGGGAGGAAGAGGCATGGTGGGGAGTAGAACAAGAGGGCAGGGCAAAGCGTCCCACTTGAGGGGGGGGGGGGGGAGCAAATTGAATGGGCTTGAATGTGGGAGAGTGAAGTTGCACCCTATTTTGGTGCATTTGGGGGGAAAAGGAAACAGATGTGAGGGTGGTGAATCTTTGTTCGTTGACTGGGTTGACATGTTGGTGATGCCACAACTTGAGACGTGGGTGGCAGCACAGCAATTACTTCATTGGATTCTCCCTGGCCCCTGCAGATCCATCCTCTCAAAAATTCATGCAACTATTTCCCTTTTCACTTCCTATAATTCACTGTTTTGTTCTCTATAATTCCATTTTCTCTAATCGATCTGGCCACATGAAAAGGTCATGATGACGTGGATCTCCTTTCCTGGTTCGCTTCTCTCGGTGGGAAATCCGACCCAGTTATATATATTTACATTCGGATCTCTACCTGCATCCTCCTGTATAATCCTCCCCCTCATGTGCCCCCCATCGCATGTGATGCTCTCTCACACATTCGTCGTACGTCAACTGATAACACTGCGAGAAGGGGAAAAACCTGATGAGAGTCAGACGATGAACAATCTTCTATTCTGGTGTTTTTTTTTTTTTACATTTCAACTGTGTTATATTTTCAATTTCAATAATTTATTTTCATAGCGCTTCTTCTGTTAACACTAATAAAGAGATCACATTGCGATTCATTACTTTAGAAGTTTTTTTGAAGTCCTGAGTGGTGTTAGTGTTTTGAAGAATTAAAATATCACTCCCCAGTTGTACCCAAAAAAAAGAAGAAGTCACTCCCCAAGAAATAAAGGAGGAGGTGATAGATCAATCAGGGGGTCCCGTGGAATTAAACTCTCCTGTCCTCCTACTGTGCGCCCGTTCTCTTTTATCTGTACATTACTTTGCTCACGCATGACTATTAAAAAGTAAAAGCGCATCGTAGTGAAAAAATTCGTCTCAAATTTTTTTTGATGAGGGTGTCAAATTATTCACTATATGTATATATTTATATATGCATGAATTGTGTGTGTGTAACTCAGTTTTTATACTGTATATATAGCCACATGAATCCATTCCAACTCAGTGTTTTTTGGCGTGTTTCGCTGGAAACTTGATCACTAAATCATGTTTCATAAATAACATGGCTTATTTCACGCTCCCTTAGTTTCTGAACATAATGAATATAGGGCGTCCATTCATTTACTTTTATTTCCAATTTTTTTTAAAAAAATCCAGATCAATTGTATATACTTAAAAAGTTTTTCTCAGAGAGTTCAGTTTTTAAATACATATGACTAACAGTATTTTAAGAAAAATAATATTATATACTTTTTGATAAATAATTAAATTGACAAAGTTTTTTACGGTAATTTTTATATTAATGAGGGAGGCTGTACTTTTTTGAATTTTGCATGATGTGTTTGAAGGTGGTGAACTTGGAAGGATGTGGGGACAATTGTGCAATGTATATTGGGAGCGGTAAATGCGTCAGGGTTCATGGCTGACACACCTATACTCCAACCGTATCAATGCTGCATTGAATTGAACATGGTTATGAGGAGCGCGTCTTGATGGAAGCATTGGCTGACAGTGGCAGCGGCCGGACAATGGCTTATTAAATTCCTCACTTCTTTATCTGGTAACGATCGACCCAACCTTTTCAACCCTTAGGAACGCCCAGAAATGACTGACCCCGTTTGAATGCAAACAGTGAAATCAGCGCGCTTACTGTGAATGAAAAAAGGTTGTAAGTTTTCAAAGCATATACTATTACAGTAGTGCTACTGTTTTGACGATATAAATTGTCGATATATTTTTCTCCACTTTTAATAACAGACCGCAGCAGGAACAGCAGAAGTTGGAAGAAGCGGATATGATATGATCAGAGTGTGGAAAGTGACGAGAGAACGTTGAAAAGCATTCTCGTGGAAGAGGGCGAATGATAATGATGGTATCCTCTCTTACCAGCTGCCCTGTCGGACTGCCCTCAAACCTCCCATCTCTGACACCCCTTCTCTGCCTTCCCCTTCGGCCCTTCCCTTCTTGCTTTTGTTTCTGACTCCTCCCACATTCATCCAAAGCCCAGCCGCATCCTGGGGAATCCAAATCCTAAATTAATCAGCGTTACAAGACAAACTCACTTCTTTAGTTTATTCTTATTTTAATAACAACGTATTCATAATAGCAATACATTAATACTACTGGTATAAGGGGGTGTTTGGTAAAACTAAAACCACGGTTTTAGAATCATTTTTCCGCAAAACGAGATAATCTCCTCTACATATTTATTTCGTAATCTGTAAAAATACTTTTAAAATTATGATTTGGTTTCTATTCAAACACCTCCTAAATTTGGGCCGTGGAGTAGCAGTAGTGGTATTTCAATAGGAAAGCGGGTGTGGCATATTTAGTGGTATTTCCAAGGCAAAAGCAGAAAGACAGACAGGCTGCAGGTTCTTCCTTTCAACTCTCTTCTCTAGCTATCTCCTTGTTCCATTATTTTACTGTTTCCTTCTCTTTCTTTTCCCCTCTCAACTGTCCTGTCTCACTGTCTTTTTCTCAAGTGCTCTATGCCCTCCCCACACTTCCCTACCCCTTCAAAACAAACTTTGCAGGCTTTGCTGTCAGAATCCTCCTCTTCCCTCTCCACTCACCCTCCCTCTGTCTCAAAGGTATCTGCCAAAAAAAAGCTATAAAGCAAACTGCGCAACTCTCTGCAAAAAGCCTTTTTACAAACTTGCTCTTCACTTCTCCAACACACCCCCCACGAAAGCCTAATTACCCTCAACTACTAAACCCAGGTCCAGCCCCCACCCCACACCCCCCCCCCCCGGGTCTTCTCTCTCAATGGACTTCCATCTGAAGCAATGGAAAAACCAGCACGAGTCTGAATCAGAAGAACAACATTTTGCAAAGATGCCAAGGCTCATGCTTGAATCCCATCTACACCCGCCCCCACATTCATCCCCCTCTTCGCCTGCTCTCCCACTCTTTGTGCCTGAACTCAACACCAAAGTCAGCTCGCTCTCTGCATTTTCTGATTCCTCGCTAGCCACGCCCAGATTTCCAAGTGAGATTTCCATCAATGCCGTTTTTTTTTCCCCCAATTTTTCCTGTGTGAGAGAAACTAGCTGAGGTTTGATTAGCTTCTGAGTTTCTTGCTTTCTTATCGATACTTTCATCTGTTCTCTCGGATTTATCTGTGTTTTGGCTGCTTCTTGTTCTGCTTTCTGCTCATGAAATTATTTTTGGTTTGTACTAGGAATGGGAAGTTATTTCAGTGCGGCTCAGTGGCAGGAGCTGGAGTTGCAGGCACTGATATTCAGGTACATGTTGGCGGGTGCTGCTGTTCCGCCTGAACTGCTTCTTCCAATTAAGAAGGGCCTTTTTCATTCCGCTCCTTATTTCCTCCATTACCAACCTTCTCGTAAGTTTCCCTCTTCATTCCTGTAACTATGTCATGTAAGATTCCCTTTCTATGCCACCTAAAGACACGCACAATTTTGTTTTACTGTCATGAACTGATAGTTCAACGTTTTCTCTCTTATGCTTCCCTTACTTTATGCTGGATTCTTTGTTGATGCCTTTCGGCATTCGCCTGTCTAAATGGAAGTTTGCGTTTTGCATTAATCTTTGAACTACTGCATTAGTGTTGCAATCGGGATACTGGGGAGGAGCGACCATGGATCCCGAGCCCGGCCGCTGCCGAAGGACGGACGGCAAGAAATGGAGGTGCTCGAGAGACGTGGTTGCCGGCCAGAAGTACTGTGAGCGCCACATGCATCGCGGTCGAAACCGTTCAAGAAAGCCTGTGGAAGTACCCACACCAACCACTGCGGGAGGCGTTGGCCCTGCCACCGCCGGCAGCGGCGTCGGGTGTCCCTCTGCTACAACTGCCTCTGTGTCTGCCCCGCATATGACACCAGCACCGTTGAGATCCCCTATCGATCTCCTCCAGCTGAAACGATGGTAATTTTTTCTCGGCCACCGTTGTGTAAGATGGCAAATCAGCATCCAAGATTTTAAGATAACTGGACATGGACTACAGTGGAAATTAGTTTCTTTCGGTAAAGGGTCCTTTTTTTTTTTTTTTGCTACGAGGGACTTAATTTGCTTGTGCGGGACATCCTGTATCTATTTTGGACGTTTTTCCTCCTTGTCAACATTTATTTCCAAAACCATATCTTGATATTCTAAAAGTGAATTCAAGTTTGTTTGATTTAAACTTGAGTAATTAAAAGGTGAATAATGTCTTCACCTCAGGGAGTGATGTCGAATAGGTAGGACCTTAATGAAAGCCCTCATCTTGCCCCATTAATCAAAAAGGGGAGTGCGTTAGATGCTGATCAAATGACACCCTGCCTATTCTTTCTAAGACGATATAAAAGCATTCCCCCTATAGCCTTTTATCGTTTTGGTTCGTTTTCTTGTAATTCTCTGGTTGGTGTCTTACATGCGTGTTTGTGGTTCTTCCTCCGTAGTTCATCTGGGACCATCAAGAATGAAAAGGAGAGCATATTTGAAAACCGTAGCCGGGATAATGTGGATGGTGAAGGGAGATCAGATGGGCATATTCTGCGACATTTTTTCGATGATTGGCCCCGACCACTTCAGGAACCTGACAATGCCGAAAGTAACGCCACGTCCATCCACTCAGCCACATGCCTCTCTATCTCAATGCCCGGAAATGCTTCGTCGGACGTGTCGCTGAAACTGTCCACAGGCGATGATGCAGAGGATCCGTGTCCCAGAAGTGCGAATGCGGGCCCACAGCACTTGCAGGTCAATTGGGCAGGAGGATGGGCCTCTTCGGCTAATCATGTGGCTTCAATGGGAGGACCACTAGCAGAGGCGCTCAGATCATCCACCACAACCTCTTCGCCTACAAGTGTCTTGCACCAGTTGCCTCGTAGCTCTGCATCTGAAACTAGCTTCATTAGCACTTAGGCTTTACTGAGGCGGTGCTCTGATTAATTTTTCTGGGTATGGCTGCATCCTGTTATGTAAGATAATATCGGGTTTTATCTCCGTCAGGTCACCATGTGATTGTTCGTTAGCTTCTAGTTAAAATTACTTTGTTCGATAATAGTTGCGATCTGGAATTGTTTTTCATTCTCTCATATCTCGACTTGCATTTTAGCCGCGTTCAGCACAAAGTACACATTCTTGATCAATGGACAACTACTTGAAAACGGTCCCGAGCATTTAAAAAGCATAGGCTTCAGGGTAAAAATAAAACAGGAAAATGGAGTTCCCCGGCCAAATCAGCACGGTAAATCATCATTATTTGACCTCAGTGTATATCATTGTAAAATTACTGACGCGTCCAGACTCGTTTCCAAAATGCCGAGGTTGCACTTATTGGACAGGTTGCCGTGAAAACAAGGACTGTACTTTTGAACTTTACTTGTATCCCACTGTAACAGAATGCCTATTGCAAGGAATACCTAGAAGGGCATACTGAACGTAGTACAATACAAGACTTCGAGCCTCACAAAAATTAATAGCGTTCCACAGTGATCGATATTCTGCTTCTATGCTAACCCCCCCCCCCGGGGGGGGGGGGGGTGGGGGGGTTTAAACTCGAGGAGCAAATGTGTTGGTCGAATTTGAGTAGGAGGGAATTTCCAAACATATCGTGCTTCCCACATGCACGGGCCTGCACGAAGTTTTCTTAACAGTGGCTTAGCCTTCAAGTTAATCTGCAGGGGCATACACCACAGCTGTTCTTGCAGGTGCATATACTAGAAAGGAACGAGGACGATCATCATACCACCCTTCCTGTATGGTCAATTGAAAAACTTTAGAGAAAGCTGTTTAGGGGTCAGAATGAAAAAAAAAAAAAACACCAATACGAATGTAAACGCATGCACAGAAAACAGAGGCATGCATGTGCGCCACAATTGAGTTGAGACAGGTCTCGTACAGAGGTGAAGTACTCAGCAGTATGATCGAGCCTATTGAAGCCTCCAAACAACGGATCATCTGAATCCAAGACAACCTAGAAAAAAGCAAGAGAGAAACCGTTATAAAAATAGAACATGTCTTGGATAAGCAATGATGCAAAAGCTTTTCTTCATTGCCAAAACACGGGATCGTACCTGGTATTTCCCGGGCTTTAAGCAGCCAATTCTGTAATCAAAATAGCTGTTGGACCAGTGAAAGTTGAATACAAATACGAGGCTGCCCCTTTCAAAGACTATTATCTTGTCATCTTCGTCTTTTCTTGATATATATTGGTGCATAGAAGTCATGAACTGCGTTGACAGTTAAGCCTTGTTACTTCCTCAAGGTGAAATTATATCTCAAAGAAAGAGAAGAAATAACAAAACCGTGCAGCAAGTGTATATCTCAGATGAGACAGAAAATAGATTATTTGCTTCCACAGGTGATGGACCTCAATTTCAACTTCACACAGGTCATCGTCAGGTTGCCCCAAAAGGGGAAAGATCAACCACCATGAAATCATGGTAACATATCCCTTCAACGTTAAGAGACTTCTTTGGCAATGTGTTGAAATATAGAGGAGGCAGCAGAAAATATCACTCACATTAAATTTTTCTTCAAGGCGCTGCATGGCCTGATCAAATTCTTGCATCCCACGATATCTTAGATACTCTGCATCCCCCTGGTAAACAGGCCACAACTTATTTTGTTTATTCTGAACAAGCTTTGACAATAATTTAGATAGTAATCAAATGAACTATTCAAGGAGTTTTGACCATGAAACTAATAGATCCTATCCAAGAAAACCGTGCAAACTTCAAAATTATTGTTAGCTCTAATAAACATTTGGAGCTGTGTGTTCCCGAGCCTTGAATTCTAATTTCTTTTTTCTCCCACCATCTGCATATTTACTCCTCCGGTCCTTAATATAGGACCTAATTTTTAAATTAGTTTTGGTCCTAAATATAAGATCCTTTTGTCATATTTATCAATTTTATCTAAATTATCCCTATAGATATTCCCTCAACCATAATCAAGTAGCAAAGAGAGGAGGGTATTAAGAAAGATGATTATGGTGTTTTAGGAAAAATGTGTCACTTTTCTTATAATTAACTAACTTACCTAATTTCTTTAATCTAATTAGTTAAATGGATCTTACATTAAGGACTGGAGGAGTATTTAATAACTTGAGTTTGAGAACATGCAACTTTGAGATGCATAGACACAAACCTGTTTAACAAAATGCAATAGTTACTTTTTACACTATCTGCTTACTTATTGACTTTGGTCCTTAATGTAAAATTCACTTTGTGGTGCAATTGATCACCAAGTAAATTTTATAGATAAAACCGAAGATATTATTTTATAACATGCATTTTCAAGATTCTGTGCGTATCTAAGCACCTAATAATATGTACCATGTATTCTAACAGTTCATTATGTATATATCAACTGAGCAAATCCACGGAGAAGATATAGGGGGAGAACAGAGTATTCTGTAACAAGAACATGGTCTGATTGGTCTCTCTCTGACGCGCACACGTACAAAATCACCGTCATCTATCATCACCATAGATTTAAAATCGGTGAAAATCCCCAAAAAAAAATTTGAAAAGGCAAGACCAAAACCCACATAATACATATAAAGAAGAAATTAAACTACATATAAGCTAAGCGCTGCTGAAATCTGCATCTCTTTCCCAATTATTATAATGATTTAGCTTGATTGTGGTCTCGAGATGGAACCCCAATCAAAAACTTTCATCAGTTGAATGATTTCCATATTGAGTAAAGAATCTTGATTCTTGATAACTACGCGAGAATAAAAAAACACGTCCATCTAATAAAAAATTATATCATAAAAGAACAACAATAAACATGCAAAACCACTGGCTAATCCCTTGCAGTACATGAAGTGAATGAAACTCTGGTTATAAGCTGAATATAATGGTTCACTCTAGTTGCCAGAATAAATAAGTCCAAGGGCTTGGTCTCCTCTTGCGAGGGCTAAAGCACAAGTTTTATAATTCACAACTAACAAAATGAACATTTGTTTTCAAAATAATTAAAACCCCATAAATGAAAATAGCAGGAATCTAAAGCAGCAAATGCACAAATTATGAGCAACTCGAACTTACCAAGTCAAATCTCCGCCTGCACTTGTCAAAACTGTTATTGTTTCCGGGGACTATTTTGCCATTAGGGAGACGCTGATCACCCCTTGGAAAATCAATCCACTCTGGACGCAAACATTAAAGGGGTAAACTTAACAATTGTTCATAAAACATCACAACCAGTAAAGGCTCAAAATCACTGACTATAAAAGGCAGTGATTCCTCAATGTGAAAAATGAGAGAGTGGGCCACATTTACGTACCAGGATGGCCGAATTCATTTCCCATAAAATTCAGATACCCTTCACCACCAAGGGCCATGGTAATAAGCCTAATCATTTTATGTAATGCTATGCCGCGATCTATGACAGGATTTGATGGTCTGTCTAGAGCCATGAAGTCATACATATCCTGAAATAGGCAAAAGAATGCAGGGTAATTTATCCAATCTTACAAGATTTAATGTAAACAAGCATTGCTTATGTCTATGCCCGAAACAAAAGGAACTCAAAAGCATAGGCCAGAGGCCAGAAACGTAATATACGAATCACCTTGTCCATCAACCAAAATGCAATAGTCTTGTCACCAACCAAGGCTTGATCATGACTTTCAGCATAAGCCACACAATTTTCCGACCACCTCCTGTTGGTGAGTGTGTACACTATATCACCCATCCTCCAATCTTCATCTCTTTTCCTACAACACAAGTGTTTGGTTGAAATCACTCATGTTTTAATCGACTATCTCCGGGGTTGTAGTCATGGAATGGGTTTTAAGAATACTCAGTTGTTAAACAAGAACTTTGAATATAAGGGGTATGATATATGGTGTTGCCTTCATGTCACCGATATCATATGATAAAGCAGAAAACCATCACATCTTCCCCGCTATAAAAGGAACAGAAAATACTCCAACAAGTGGATAAAAAAGAAAGACTAGCTCACAATCTAGTAAATTCAGATGAACAAATACACCCTACCATAAGTACATGCCAATCATTGATAAGAGTGAAATCAGCGATCATTTTCTCCCTCAGTAAAGGCCTATAAATTCGTTGTTACTATTAATCTTATGTGAAAGCTGTTTGAACTAGAAGCATGTACATACCTGTTGTAAATTTAGTAATCATACATAGGGTTGCAAGCACCTAACTTATAATCATTTGGTTAAGGAGACACTAAATACCATATCGGAGGTCATTCCTTCCTAAAGATTGAAGCATGGCTCGCGAATATTTTGTTACATAAATAATAAAGATCATCTCTAGTTTTTGGTGTTTTGGCCATTCTTTGGGTGCCGTTGTCAAGCTGCAGCACCACTCTCTGGTTATCTCAAAATTTGACACATAGGATCAACATATTAAAATAAGCAAGTCTACTTCATGCTGGAGTTTCATATGTTTTAAGTAAAATTAATTCCGACTATGACTATTCCCCCCGGGGGGGGGGGGGAGTTTATATGCTGCGCTTGGACTCTAAAATGATTTATATGCTGTGCTTGGACTCTAAAATGATGAAAGAAGTTACTTGAGAAGTTCAATCCACTTGTCGGCAATAGCCATATGCAGGCGATAATCAAAGCCAACCCCACCATCTTTCGTAGGAAGACAGAGTGTTGGCATTCCGCTGACCTGTAAATAGAAGGAGACGTGTATAGGCGGAAATATAGCGAAGGATCAAATTCAACTGAACTGAGCACACAGTTCGAACACCATATCATGTAAAACTACTCACCCAAATGAGAAGGGAGCGATTAATTGATTAAGATGTAAAAATTTCTAAAATATACTTTTTATGATTTTTGATAAGGTAACATACATCTTCGCCAACTGTAACAGCCTCGGGGAAGAGTCCATGAATAAGATCGTTAACTAGCATCAAGTAAACCACAGCATCAACATCTGTTGCATATCCAAAATACTCACTGTAGTTTCCTGTAAAAGCTACCTGCAGCAGGCAAGGAAGAATTTTTCTCTAAACAAAAAAGCAGGAGAGGGAGTGGCTTCTCATGAAAGTGATAGCCCTCTGTTGGAAAATCTTTCATTAGTTTCCTAACACGCCTTTCATCGATATCGCAAGAGTAATGTCAGCACGGTAGGTGCAGACAACCTTTTCAGGATTAAAAAAGAACGCCAAGAATCTCAATCAAGAGTGAAATACAATTGCAGGAATCATGTTTCTATTCGCAAGTCAAAGAAAATACATAGCAGTGTGTATGTTTTTACCCACATTTTTAAATTGGTAATCCCGGAAGTCTGTATCCGTTGATGACTAATTACGAAGTCATCACATAATAACAGGAAACCAGAGAGTGGTTGTGAATATTGGGATGTACCTGTAGTCCATGATGATTGTACATCATTGACGTGATACCGTCAAATCGGAACCCGTCAAACTTATATTCATCCAGCCACCATCTTGCATTTGAGATAAGAAATCTCAGAACCTAAAGCAATATTCAATTCAAAACCTTGGGAGCAAATGTTGGTAGAACTATCTCAATGGATTCTGCAAAGATATTGCTTACTTCCCAACTCCCATAGTTAAAAAGGCGAGAATCCCACATCCAATGATAACCTCGTGACCCCGAATGGAAGTATTGGCTATCAGTTCCATCAAACATGTTCAGTCCATCCAACGTATTATTTGATGCATGGCTGCATTCATCAGGTAGGAAAAATAATAATAAGATCTAGCCAAAGAGTACAGCAGTCAAGCTATATTGGTTAAAAAACTAGAAGAATAAAAATAACACTATGAGCAAACCCTACCTATGTACAATATCCATCAGAACAAGCAGACCTAATTCATGAGCTCTATCAATTAAAGACTTCAGTTCGTCAGGTGTTCCAAATCGGCTGCTAGGTGCAAAGAAATTTGTAACATGGTACCTACACAACGCAGAATGATGGTCAACTTGGCAAAGACATCATCAACACCCCATGAAATATAAAATATAAAAGAAAACTGCCTATCATTTTCAAAATCCAGTAGCAGCACTTTGAAGAGTTACCCAAAGCTAGCATAATAAGAATGCTCTTGGATGGCCATAATCTGCACTGCATTATATCCAAGCTTTTTTATGCGCGGCAAAACTTCATCTCTAAAATTGGCATATGTGTTGATTTTTGGCTCCTGCAGCCAAAATTTTCTGCAATGTTAGTGATAGGAAAACAAACCATTCCAATAAGTGCCTTCTCTTGAACGCAGTTGGTAACTTGGCGGCCCAGTCTAAAATTATAACTAAACTACTGTGTAAGACACACAGATACACATCTATTAAAACAAATATCAAAATAGCTTGTATTTTGTTGCCTATCTGTGCTACAAGCCCGCTCACTGGATGGGCCATTCAACCCTTTTTTTACCCATTTTATAAGGCCGATTCATACTGGTCAGAAAAGTTAAACTCAAACGGGCCTTATATTAACTGGCCCAACCTGTATTTTATAGGCTAGATAGATCAGCTCATGATGTCTGAATGCTTTTAAGGGGGTGTTTGGATATCATGAGAAGTGCTTTTTAAAAGTATTTTTTAGCAAATGGAGATAAACTTTTTCACATATTTACTTCGTATACCATAAAATCACTTCTAAAACTATGGTTTAGTTTCCATCCAAACACCCCCTCAAATCGGAAACCACACAGCACACTTGCCTTAGTTCAAATCTTTCCCCCTGCAAAAGACTCGAAACAATTTATTCTTTGACATTGTAGCATTCATGATCAAAGTTACCACCAAATGACCACATATCAAAATAAAGAAGAGTAAAGGATGCTCACTGGACTACTCATTCCAACATGTGACTCATATATTCTAAGTGACTTGGGTCTCCTTGGCCGTGGATGTTTGAAGACATACCTTTCCTGTAATGAAAAGAACAAGGAACTTATTTTCTACAGCTTGCCATATGCAATAGCCGATAAAATATTAAAGCACTGATCATCTGCTAGGTTACATTTTAGCTAAAGTCTATCCAGATAGCAGAATCCACTTTATCAAAATATCAATATCTTTATATGATTCTCTAGAATTATAACATCAGAACTTCCATACGGTTCTGCTTCATGCTATGAGATCTGAGACTTTACCAAAGTTTGCATGATAGGCTAACTGAATTCATTATGTTCTTCATTTCCTCCTTTTCTAAAATTAACTTACAAGGATGGAATTAACACAGAACTATACCTCCTCTGGCGGATCATAGTATATACCATTATAAGGAATTTCACCCTCAGCCTGCACAGAGTACTTGATCCAAGCAGGAATTGAGTCCTTAATGCCAGAGGGAGTATGCATGCGGATCTAGACGTAAACAATTTGCATATAAAACATCCAGTCAAAAAATAGATCATTAACAGAGGTGGAAAACATCCAAACTCAGCAGATAATACTTGTATTCCGTTCAGAAGAAAAATTACCTTCACTCGAGTACCATGAGGAATTGCTGGTGAACCATCTACGTTGTTTGGCAGGAAGACCTCCCACACGCCAAACTCATTCTGTTTGGACCAAAAAAGCATACAAAAATTTTGTTGAGATTTAAATTTGACTATCGTGTCCTTCTCATGCAACCGGGAGCCCACGCTTTGTTATAAACACATAAATCACATAGAAAGATCTCCATTTTAAAAAAGAGATTTTGCCCTTCAAGCTCCATATTTTTTGGGCCCACAAACATTATGAAGCACTTTCCAATTTAAGCGCCCACTAACACACGTTTCCAGTGCCTCAACAATTCGGCAGTAGCAACAACCCTAAATAATGGGCACAAACACATCATAGAAAATGGAATCACCATTAAATAATTAAGTAACTAGGTAAAATCTATAATTTTGTATAGAAGTCAAATGTAATTAAGTGGAAGATTCTAGTCGATTACATAGGCGGTGATTCTTGCGAGTCAGCCTTGCCTAAAGTCGCTCTCGTAGATATAGAAATCATCTTAGAGTTGGCGAATATACAAGTTTTGGGTTCTCTTTAACTACAAACTCTCAAAAGGAAATTTTAATGAGAGATTAATTTCTATCGAGGGGGGTTTACATTAGATAAAACTACCATCATCTTCCTGATAATTTTGCTATTGTTCTCATAACTAGTTCTAAACTCCTTACCTGTGGCTACTTCTACCAATATGCATCCCCAACCCCACAGTAATGGAGGAGAAATAAAAATCAGTTTTAATTTGACAAATTTTAAGCCAAACAGAGAGAATAACTGTTAGAGGTACAAGGGAAATGTAAAACCGGAAAAATAATCAAGCCATGCTACAACTGTCTGTCATTTTAATAAATTATTTTTTCATATACTTTTTAATGAACAAATTATTTAAAAAGCATAAACTTTAAACAAATCTAAGATGACATGCATACCTGTGTCATTACATTTGCATTAGGATTCCAGTTGTTGAAGTCTCCAATTAGCGAGGCAGACTGAAAAAGCACGAATAATATCCATAATGTGTGATAAGAGACTGGTACACTAATGTTCTCATAGTTTTCAGAGACAAAAGCCACACAACCAAAACCATATTTTCTTATTCAGACTTAATTTGTAAAGAAAAAGAGAATGAAGAAAAAGGAAGAACCCATAATCACGAAAAGTATTCCTACGCATCTCCAGGAAGATCTTGTATTTTGCTTTCCGTTAGAATGCTTACTTTTGTCTATCTCTTGATAGAAGCATTGGCTCCTTCAAAAGAGAGCATGGCGCAACCATGCAACTCAGCAAAATCCATGAATTTTAAAACATTTCCTAAAGGGTAAGTTTGTAGTCAGGAGAATGAAGAAGGAAATTGAGGGAAGTAAAGATTTCAATTTTGACACCCCAGTAACCATGCACAAAATATTGCTCATATACTCGAGAACCAAGTGTATATTGAAAGTTAAACTTCAATACAAGTAACTATGCACTGTTGTCAAAGATTCTGTCCCATGCTGGTACTGGAACCAAAAAAAGTGAACTTAAGAATTAGGATGATGAATTGCACCTTAGCTGCAGGTGCCCACTCTCTGTAAGTAATGCCAGTGGCGCTGCAAAAACAAGTTGGAGTTATTACAATATACTCATTAAAAGTTTTGCAAGAGTCGGAAATTGAGTTTAATAGGATTTAAGACCTCATCGACTTCTTGTTTGATTTTATCCCAAAAAAGAAAACAATATTCAACACTAGGGTGGGCTTCTATGAAGGTGTTAAAGTAAGAATAATAGACAAAAATACCTGAATTTGCCCATGATATATATAATGGCTAAACTTCGTTGCGTTGATAATGGAGCATTAGTAAAATGTATGAAACAAAAAATATAATATATATGGAATAGTACCTTCGATTGAAACCGAATCTTTCATAACCACGAGAAAAAGCCTCCAAACCACCTTCATATTTGTCAATATCATGACGCAATCTTTTGTATTGTCCATAACTGTAATTCAAGAAATATGTAGTTCCACAGAAAATATAATGGTTTACCATATTAAGGTAACTACTAGCAGTGCCCCAAAAGTGAAGCAGGTAAGAGTTTGTAGAGTACAAACTGAAAAAAGTTAATAAATCAGTAGGAAAAAGGAACTCTTATTGGCAGTAAGGCGACTTTTTTCACAATTGGCCATATTTTTATTGAACCTATTCACTGTGTTTCTGGAAATAAAGAAAATTACAGAACACACAAAAGGAGGCAATAATTTTCAAAAATAAAAAAGACTTCGTGAAGCACAATAACCAGACTACAAGCAAAAGGCCATATCTCTACAAGAGTAAATTCTGATAGAGGATCTTATTTCAAAGCACTGCTAACACACCTCTGTATCTCCATCGGCAGAGATGAGTGGCAAAAGAGTCAAGTTCTTCTCTCTTTGTTTTCTTCGCCACACAAAAAACATTTGAAAATATCGCAAACATGGTACTTACAACTTTATTATTAGAACTTATAGTCCAGTGGTAGCTTGATAATTATTTCATTTATGATTTTATAACCAAAGGTAGAAAGTTGACTCACCGGAAATCAAGATGCTGACGATAAGTTTGCAAGAGTGGATCGAGTACATATATTTTCTGTCCAGTGCCAGGTGGAGGAATAATCTTGGGTTCGACTTCGTTTCTTTCGAATTTTACTTCCGTGTCTGCAGAAACTGAAACCATTATTTCAGCTTTGCATTGGACATAGGCATTTAATCCTACAAGCAAGGAATGAACAAAACCTTGTACATCCTCAAAACCTCTGTAACCAGTAGCTGCAGCTTCACCATTTTTGAAATTATTTTCATCTTCCATAGCTAGATCCTTTAAACTTTGAAGAGCCTAAAATAAGCATTAATGAACATGCACTTAATTTATGGAGTTGAAGAAATCCAACGCCCTACGAGATTAATAATAATAAATAATCAAAAGGCAGAAACATAAATATCAATGGCAGTGACCTAGCAGGCATGCCTATGGAAATACAGGACAAGTACACAAAACCAATGATTCCCGCATTTACTTACACGGACCATAGAATTTCAATTTTGAAAATATGTTAATTGTGTTTGATGTACTAATGTTCAATAAAATATTTGCTTACAGTTCATAAAAAATTGCTTAAAAATGTATTAAGATTTTCCAGAAATAAAATTAAATTCAATAAGAATTAATATATTATAACTTTCGTAAAGAGAGCTTAGGATCAATATGAATTTTACGTTTTATTAGAAAATTAGTTATCATCTACAATAGAATAAACTCTAGTCCTAAAGGTTAAAATGCTATAAAATAAATATGGTCAAGAAGCTCGAGATAATGGACATGTCCAATTTCACAAATCTTTGAGAGTACAATTGTAGCAATTAGAAATGCTGTCAATATTTGGTGTCGTCATAACAAAAAAGGCTTGCCTTTCAAGTGATCAGTAGATATATAAATCTGCGGTCTCTGTCAGAGAAAAGGCATATAAGTGCATAATACTCCTCCGGTCCTTAATATAGGACCCAATTGGTGAGTTGGTTTTGGTCCTAAATATAACGAAGGAGGAGATGTGGATATCAGAATCAGAGAAAAATTCTCAGCAAGGGTTTAAAACCTACAAAAAAGTCACATTTGTCAGCAAGAAAAGAAGAAGAAGAATGTTTTCAATACAACATATATAGAATAATTAGTTCCACAAGCAAACCAAAATCTAGCACGTTCATGCATTTTTAATCAAACCGGCCGATCATTATATGTTGACAGTTATTTACGATGTTCTTCAAAAATATCAAACCAACGGACGAAGGAAAATTAATCCAAGGACCTTTAGAAGACATATATGACGGAGCAAACGAAATTTGATTATTGCTCTGTGTAGCAAATACAGCTTGGTGAAACACAATCCAAGAGGCAGAGGCCCACATATGCCTCTATCGCTAATAACAGGGGCGTAGCCAGGATTGGCTGACATTGAAAAACATATATAATATAAAGTTCGGATTAAATTTCGGAGAGAAGCAAGACGTATAACACACATATATAAACACAGAGAAAAACTTAGTTCTATCTGCAATAGGCATCCAGAATTCTAGCTCGGAAGTGATCTCCCAACAGCAAACAGAGCATATGAAAATTCGTAAGTTTATAATATGCCCTGAGACGAAATGAAATAAAACGGTACTAACAAGTGTCAAGGGGAGGTCGCTAGTATCAGAACCTTACAGCTCACAAAGTTATATTTTAAACATAGAAGAAAGAACCTGACAATACAACTCCGATGGGTTTAATCTCCATCAAAAGCGACAGTTCCGTGACTGTCTTTCACAACCGAAACAAACTAACCCGCTTCACCCAAGGAAATGTACACAACGATATAGCATAAAAGCTAACCCAACGGGTCTCCCCAATCCTCTGATAGCTAGTTGAAACATGAACCAAACAGAATTCAAAACAAACAACACTTACAAGTCGAATAACGAACACAAAATTTAAAACTTGAGAAGCAGCAAGTGAGAGGGAAGCGTACATCGAGAGAATGTGTCCTTCCGGAGAGAGAAGGAGAGTGAGATAGTCCTTTGATCGCCATGAAAACGGGACCGCGATGACTTGAACAATGAAGGAACGACGGGGAGACGTAATCCTGGCAAAGTATAAACCATTTTCCGGGGTTATGATTCAAGAAGATGAAGACGAAGGGTTAAAAAGAAGGAAGGAGGACCGCTGTGGAGTTGGGATTCTAATGGGGGAGAGTGAAAACTGTTGAGCTGAACCAGCCGAGATACTCGTGATCCCTGGTTATTATTGTTACCTTTTGTCCGGAAGAATATAGAAAGCAAACTGCAAACAAATATCACCGAAAAATATGTACTACTATATTATAGTGTATATATAGAGAGGGGGGGGGGGGGGGGAGGATCGAGAGAGAGAGATGTTGCGCGGGGGAGGCGGCGGTTCCCGCAGAGGAAACAACGTTTCGGAATGCTACGTGTGAAGCAAGGAAAGAGGAGCTAAGGAGAGAAGGGGAGAGACGGTCAATTGTTTAGAACCAACAGTCAAATATGAAAATCATAGTCATTAAATCAGTGCTTATCCCAATAATAAATCATCAATCATCAATCATCAATCATCAATTAACTGATTCAAATGCGAAATTACTGACTAGCTGATGTTGATGATACACTGCGAACCCAATATATGCCCTTAGGCTCAATCAATCATCAATACGCTAGCGGAAAAATATCATTCGTTTTTTTTTATGGAAAAAATATTATAAAATTTATTAAATTGGGTTGGCAAAATTTTTTTAAAATTTAATACATTGCGTAAATTAACATGCAAAAAGCCGTCTGGTTTAATTTAAATTCTGGCAATTATTACTGAATTCTATTGCACACGAAATTTTTGACTGTAAATAAGATATTTAAGTTTATAGACCACTCTTATCAATTTACAGCTAAATTCTCATGTTTACAACACACTTTTTAGTAAGATTTGTGTAATTGTGTAATTTACAACTCATTTTTGAGTAAGGTAGAGGTTAAAACCTACTTATAGAAAAAAAAAAATTAGAAGTTAACAGGCTCTGCATTTCTTAAGGCCGGTTATATCTTTTTCCATAGCATCTTAAATCGCGGTATCCTGGCGGGCTCCAATATGTGCTCCGAAAAACCCCGCTGCGCGAGCACATTATTTCATTATTTTGTGTGGGGAAAAAAGGGGGAAAATATTTATTCCTTTTACATTGTATAATTAAATTTTCAATTCCGGTATAATCATTATATAATTTTTTAATGATTTTATATGCATTGTATTCTGATTAAAAAACTGATAATAAATAATACAATAATTATGAACTTATAATGCATATGACTAAACTGAAGAATGTAAAACAAATCGGATTTCCTCTTTCGAATCCAACCATAAAAGAAACTATAAAGTGCGATACAAGTCGGACGCTTGTTTTAAAAAAAGTGTAATTGAAGAACAAGAAGTAGCCCCCCGGAAGTTGTATTTCTAAGTCAACACAAGAGTCAAGAAAGGCTTTAAGGGCTAGTAATGCAAAAGTCAAAACAGGCTAGTAGAACATGACCCGGAATAAAAATAGGGTTAAGATATAATTTTAACTCTGATCTATTCTTTAGTATAATTTTGTCCTTAATCTTTTTATTAGTGTAATTTTGACCATAATTTTTTTGTACACAAAATTACACATAAAACATAAGATCAGAAACCCAAATTATACAACTGAAAAGCTAGGGACAAAATTGTACATAAAAAATAAAATTAAGGTCAAAATAATGATTAAAAACTGATAATAAATAATACAATAATTATGAACTTATAATGCATATGACTAAACTGAAGAATGTAAAACAAATCGGATTTCCTCTTTCGAATCCAACCATAAAAGAAACTATAAAGTGCGATACAAGTCGGACGCTTGTTAAAAAAAAGTGTAATTGAAGAACAAGAAGTAGCCCCCCGGAAGTTGTATTTCTAAGTCAACACAAGAGTCAAAGAAAGGCTTTAAGGGCTAGTAATGCAACAGTCAAAACAGGCTGTAGAACATGACCCGGAATAAAAATAGGGTTTAAGATATAATTTTAACTCTGATCTATTCTTTAGTATAATTTTGTCCTTAATCTTTTTATTAGTGTAATTTTGACCATAATTTTTTTGTACACAAAATTACACATAAAACATAAGATCAGAAACAAAATTATACAACTGAAAAGCTAGGGACAAAATTGTACATAAAAAATAAAATTAAGGTCAAAATAACACTTTAACCCATAAAAATACGCCATAAACGAAGCTTCCCCACCCCCCCCCCCCCCCAAAAAAAGGGAAGTTTGCTGCTTTTCTCTAATCATGCGCATACGATGCTACATTTTTCTTATTAATATCATTTGATCTTTTATTTTAAAAAAATTCAATCCCCTTCAGGAGATTACATTTTTGCATGATTTGCAAATTAATTGATGAAATCTAACGTACCCCCTCTGGTGTTTTTAAACAGTTTTTTTATTGATAAGCAACGCATTGACATGGACCAAATACAACTCCTCCGTTTCAGTTCAAGAGAAATCGGACATGCTTAATTACAAAATCAAGAAAAATATTTTGAAAATAAACGACATTGTGCACATATCACTTTTACCCACATAATATTCTCATATAGACTTAGGGTATGTTTGGATTGACGTTGGACAAAATTGACTTCAAGCTCAACTAACTTTTGTAATTGAAATTAGAGTAAAAGTCAATCAAGGTATGTTTGGATAGATGTTTTTAAAAAGTCAGTTAAAAAAATTAAAAGTTGTTTGAATGGTTAATAAAAAAGTTAATTTAGTTGTAAAATAACTGAAAAGAACATAAACTTTATTAAATAGTAGTGTTCGAAATTTAAGTTTTTAATGTAATAATAGTTTAAAAAATACATAATTATTATGATAAAATATAAATAGTTTATTTGTGAAATTATAAAATAAAAAATACTTGTTATGAAGAAAAACTGCTTAGCTAGTTATCACAAATTATCCTTACAGAGTTCACAATACAACAACCTTGAAAACAAGGCTAATTTGGATTGCAAGGAACGCACATTTCAGCAATGCAGGCAAACTAATCATGAGAAATGTCTACTCGCATCTGATACCAGAGACCAGATTCAATCGCCCCTCAGTCCCCACTTGCACAGCCCCTACAACCACAATGAACACACTCTATGACCTTTTCCTCCCTCAGTTGCTTGGGTACTCGGCAAACACAAGTGGTGGCAAAGTTGTGATCCCGTGGTTGCATGCACCTAAGGCAACACAAACGTTCATAGCCAGGCTGCAATTTCAAACAAGCAAGCAGAGGGTTTAGTTAGTCAAAACCAGGAAAAATTAACAAATGCGAACGGCGAATATATATAGAAACAAACTAATTTTTTACATAAAGGGAAGCACAAAAATCCCCTGCATCTCTAGAAGCCCTATATTTCAGGGTTTGTGTAACTGTAAGAAATAATATATTTAATCATAGTAAATGAGTTTGAAACTCTCATTTTCTCATATATATTGCCCATAATCAGAGTTTTCTTCACAACTTTTAAATGCATATTATAGAGCACCATGCACAATAGATATTTCTTTATGGCAAAAAAAAAATTGTAGAATTTACGAGAAGCACCTTCTTCCATTTTGCAATCAGGTTGCGGTCAGCATATCCCTGATCTAAACAAAATTCATACAATTCCTTTGAAATTTCCTTCCTCCGGTGGTAGAGGTCAAATATGTAGCGACTCTTCTGATGTGCAATCTTAAATATAGGCCATAATGTCTCACATTTTCTTTTACCATCATGTGTATCATTCTCCGCTGCCACAGAAATAAACATTATAAAACAGTTCGAAGAGTTCACAATAAACATAATAAAATTTGTAAAGCATGTAAAAGATATAAGATAGTTACCTTCCCTCATTTTTGCTTGAAGTTCACGAAGGGTAGGCTCAATTAATTCCCAGCCCTCTGGATACTTAATGCGATTTGTCTTTACTTTTGGCATTTTCCTATCTGTCAAGTGAAACATGACATTGGAAGATCAATTGCCATATCCCCGACCAAACAACGTGTAACTTAATACGTAAACAATATCAGAAAGCTATCCAATCAGTAGTTCAGATAAAAACTATAAAATATAAAGGTGATAAGATAATCAATCATCAAACAAATAGCTTACAGCATTGCACAAGAGAAAGACTATTCCATTACTGCTACAAGTCAAACACAAGTTTGCTAAGTAAAAAATATTAAATGTTAAAATTTTCACCTTTGTTTGCTTGCCACTTCATTTAGTTTGAGATGTAGTTCGTTTCATTATGCATTAACATCGGCTTCTACAGGGCAGGTCCTCTAATAAGTGCTCTATGGGACTGCAGTGTTTTATGGCACAGTTCTTAGGGCGATTACCCAGACTTTTTTCCTCTATAAAATTCCAACTTTGAAACAAATGTCACATACAAGAGGCTACGCTGCCTCCCATTCCATGTTCATTGAAATTCTGCTAGATATGACCCTAAACTTTTCAGCAACTAGTTGGATGCTGCTCACAACGACATCCAAGAGGAAAGAAAACAAAAGACCAATTACTTCAAAACAGACCGTTTATTTTTAAATAGGTCAATGTGATCGCATAAGCTATCCAAATAAAGAATTAACCACCAATAGTTTAATGCATGGCACACTTCCCGAACGAAGGGAACCCAACGCAAGACCGAATGATAATTCTCATGACAATAAACAAACTACCATAATCACAAATCTTCTTCAGGAAAGAGGTAGCTTGAGAATTGAGAGATGAAAAACATTACATCTTGACATGTTATCATGCGACTCCTAACATATTCCATCACCGAACTACTCAAAATGGGATTTTGATTAAAGAATAATAGGAAGCAAGGGTTGATATCAAGTAGCCAAGACTAAATAAGGAAGCAAGTCCACAGCTATTGAAACTCACCGTGTTATTCTATCTGATATTTTTAACTTTCAATTAACTTCAATTGTGTTACTGGGGTTTGAAAAATAATCACGCTTCAGTGAAAAGAAACTCCAGTTTCAAGAAGGATTGCAGCTTATACTGATATCAAACATTATCAGCAAGCAATATAAAATATAGTGCATAATCTATTGCGCTAACTTTAATCGGATTTCAAAGGAATGATTCCTTAGGAAAGAAGAATGGCAATCAGATTTCAGATCCCAACTATTCCACATTCTATTCGAATGAAAGGAGAGGGGGCGGGGGAAGAAGTTGGGTACCTGAATCGAAGAACAATTAAGAAACTCTTCTACTGTAGGTTGTCGGCGGTCGACTGTATTCCAGCCAGGGTTCAGGTACAAAATGGCAACGCGGACAGGGCTGAGGTTGACAGCGCCCCGGCTGAAATCCTTTCTCAAGGAGGACGAGCCGAGACGTCAGAAATGACTATATGCGTGAAAACAGAGGACAAAGAATGGAATCCTTGTGCCTGTTTGATAGAGGATTAGATACGCATTATCACCGGATTTTATAAACCTCACGGAATCAGCCACGCGATTGTTCCAGATTTATTATGTAATTTTTCATATTTTACATTTTTTTTATGATGAAATAGATGCTGGCAGAAAAAAAAAACAAAAAGAAAAATCGCAAAACTATCTTGAAAATAGGTAAATTGTAAATAGGAACCTATTGCGGGGTTTTGACACCAATTAACAAGTAACGCGGACAGGGCTGAGGTTGACAGCGCCGCGGCTGAAATCCTCTCAAGGAGGACGAGCCGAGACGTCAGAAAATGACTATATGCGTGAAAACAGAGGACAAAGAATGGAATCCTTGTGCCTGTTTGATAGGGGATTAGATACGCATTATCACCGGATTTTATAAACCTCACGGAATCAGCCACGCGATTGTTCCAGATTTATTATGTAATTTTTCATATTTTACATTTTTTTATGATGAAATAGATGCTGGCAGAAAAAAAAAACAAAAAGAAAAATCGCAAAACTATCTTGAAAATAGGTAAATTGTAAATAGGAACCTATTGCGGGGTTTTGACACCAATTAACAAGTTAATAACAATAATTTTTGTATGTAATTTTTTAATTTTTAAGGTTTTTTTTGTGATTTTCAAAAAAATAAAAAATTAAATAACTAATTTATGAATATTAAAAAAATTAGTTAAGTTGATTATATGTCACTAATCTCTATAAAACTATTATTTTCAATAATGTACATTGTATTATTAGAATTTAGAATTATCTGGGCTTGCAATCAATTGGAACATTTGTAGAAAGACGAGAGATAGAACATATTGACTTCTCATATTTAAGATCAAGAATAAGATTCTTAAAGTATCCACAAAGAAACACCCAATATTTAAAAGTTTTGTTTGCTTATATGTCTTGAAAGTTTTATTTTGTAACATTTCTATTATGAACCGTTTGTCATAGTTAAAAAATAAACTTTTAGGACATACTCCTTCACGAATACTTTCCTGGGCATTTAAACACATTATCCCTCTAAGACCAAATTCAACATGTAATTACCTCTTATATTAAGAATTAAAGATAGTAACGGAAAATAAAAATTATTTTTTAACTATTAAAATGTTAAAAAATAACCATAGTTAAAGTTAAATGTAAAAGTAAAATAAAATATAACCAAAAATTTGGTCTGTTCAAATTTAATTTACACTAAGCCAAATGTACTGCGATCGCCTTGCCATATGCTGCAGAAAAATCAGGCCCTAAACAGCAGGCATGCAACTATATAATGGAGATGTTATATGATTATTATACATGTATAGCCATGCGTGTATGTATCTGTATGTATCATATAATACTTTTTCATTTCAAATTATCTTCACAAATCAAACCGCAATTCTCAATATTATTTAAGTTTATACTTATTTTTTAAAATATCTTTATTGATTACACAGATTAAAGAAGTTTTCATCCAAGAGTAATCATAATCAAAAGAGTACCTTAAAACATTCAACTCATATTATTAAAAATAACTAATTACATTTTCTTAATATACTTTAATTAATTAATTTTTATATTAAGAATCAGAAGTAATATTAAAAAAAGCATTTGGGATGCCTCAAAAATACTTTTAAAAAATATTTTTAGACAAGTCAAGACAACTCTTTTTCCAACTCTGTAAAACCACTTATAACATCATATTTTAGTTTTTACCTAAATATTTCCTAAGTATAAGACAGTTTGGGCATGAAAAATGGGCTGGAATGGAAAGGTGTTTCAACATGTTAACCCTAGTCCGCGAAGCTATAGTACTTCATCACTCGAATAATTGTGACTCTCAGGACTCATTTAGAATAGTTTACAAGGGAGTGTTTGGGTGATAACCCAAACCATGGTTTAAGAAAAAATCACCCAAACACCCTTAAAAAAAACCAAAACCATGGTTTTGGAAAAAGCAAAATTTTTGCTTTTGGAAAAAAAAAGAAAGAGTGTAAGAGCCTATAAGATATGTATCTTGTTGTTTTTTTTATAAATATATTTAATCTTATATCTTATAAATATATATACATATTAATTATTATTAATTATATTATCTTATGTATTATTAATTATGTTATGAAAAATGGGCTGGAATGGAAAGGTGTTTCAACATGTTAACCCTAGTCCGCGAAGCTATAGTACTTCATCACTCGAATAATTGTGACTCTCAGGACTCATTTAGAATAGTTTAAAAAGTGCTTCTAGTCATAACTATCCAAATATTCTCACTTTTAGAATCACTTTTTTACAAAATCTATTCTTAAAAAATCTATTCCCCAAAACTATTCTCCAGAAGCTATTCTCCAAACCATAATTTGGTTATATCCAAACACCCCCTAAGTAGTGTTTTTTTTATAAGTGATTTTGAAAGCTATGGCACCAAACAGGCTCTCAAACATCACTTTATAAGCACCTATAAGCTATAATGCTTCTAGCTGCGCGTACACAAAGGAGTATGACCCGAACATCACTCCCCTGTCCACCAAATGAGCTTCATCTAAATATATTTTTTATGTAATTACATATTAACTTATGCCTTTTTTAGTAATTTCTTATGTTGCTTCTAGTCATAACTATCCAAATATTCTCACTTCTCAGAATCACTTTTTTACAAAATCTATTCTTCAAAAAATCTATTCTCCCCAGATTTCCTCTCCAGAAGCTATTCTCCAAACCATAATTTGGTTATATCCAAACACCCCCTAAGTAGTGTTTATAAGTGATTTTGAAAGCTATGGCACCAAACAGGCTCTCAAACATCACTTTATAAGCACCTATAAGCTATAATGCTTCTAGCTGCGCGTACACAAAGGAGTATGACCCGAACATCACTCCCCTGTCCACCAAGAGCTTTGCATCTCGGGAAATGAGCGCAACTTCTGATGGTGCTTCTAGCTACGGGTTTCCGACGAGCGATGCTACTTGTCTTTCTTGCTTCTTTCCGTTGGCCTTTAGCTTTCTTGTTCAGACGCTGTTCTTCCTTCGTTTCTTGGGGTTCTTTTGCTTTTGTTGGTCTGATTTCCTAGAAATGAAAACCAAAAAACGAGTCATAGCGCAAAAAGGGAGAAAATAAGAAACAGATATACGAGAGAGAAAAAATTATAACATAGTTATATTTTAAAATAATTTTTATGATTTTTTTTAAATTTGCTAGTTAAATTTTTAATAACACGACTGCAGAAGTTCTAGCTCATGGAAGAACATCATTTTATATATTACTCCCTCCGTTCCTTATTATAAGAGACATTTGATACTTATGGCATGTTCCTATATATAAGAGACACTTACAAGTTGTCTCTACTTTTTTGTGTTGATTTACTATTTTACCCATATTTATTATCTCCAACTCACACTCTCTCTCCCTCTCACTTTTCTTTCTTTTAATAATTTAATTGTTCTCTCTCATGCTCTCTCTCCTTATTAATGAGGGTATTTTTGAAAAAAAATTATACTTTTTACACATTAATTGTTCTTAACTAATTTTAACTGTTTTTTTTATCAACGTACTTTAGTTATTTATCTCTTATAATAAGGAACGGAGGGAGTAATCATTAATTTCATCTAAATATAATATATGTTAATAATTTAATAATTTCATCTAAAATTCAAGTTAATAACTAACTTTTATCAATCATTTTTATTTTGAAACAAATAAAAATAATTAGCTAAAATACTTATAAAGTATCAACTTTAACTTGGATGTCAATTTTAATGCTCAAAAGTGAGAGAACAATCTCTTTATTTCCCGAGACCAAGCACATGGGTTGAAGATGCCCTTTAAGGGAGTGTTTGGGCAGAAACAAAACTATAATTTTAAAAGTGTTTTTACGGTATACAGAATAAATATGTAGAGAAGTTTATTTTGATTTGCAGAAAAATATTTTTGAAAAGCACTTTTACACTCATCCAAACACCCCCTCAGTTGACACCCGGTGTTTCCCACCAAAATGTTCGAAATGAAGTTCCTGGGGGGTTATAGATTTAACTTTAAAGCCTTTCCTTCACAACTGCTCTAGTGAGGTCTCTGCTGTTCCATACAAACACCAGCGTCTCCACGTGCACAGACCTGCTACACGCTCCCCGGGAGGGAGCTGGGAGATTAAATGCACATCTTTGGTACTTGCATCTTGCTATCTTCAAGCTACTCAAGAAGTATCTGTCCGCATGGGTCTGGGGCATTTCACGATGGATTTCAGATAGATCTAAAATCTAACTATCATCAAATGACATGACAACCCAAGAACCGGTAAAACTACAAATTTGGTAGATAATGCTCGATGACTTACTTTTGGAATGTCAAAATCGCCTTTGCTTGCATCGCATATATCCAGAGACAACATTCGAAGCATTGGAAGCTGATAGTTGATATAGAAGACAGTATAAGTTCTTATCATTTTACAAAACCATAGATGAATATTCATACATGCAGAATAAGAAAAGTAAATGAAAATGCATTTGATTTCCCAAGACACCCCGATACATACCAAACCTCTATTTATATCAGTAATTCTATACCTAACTAATAATCCTCTTAAATGACTGAAATAACCACGTGACAGTATATCATACCTTGGAAGCAGCATAAAAAATGAAGTTTTCCTGCAGCCCAGGTCCCTGAATCATGTTTGTTAGTAAAAACTCCCAAGAATTAACTTAGCATGAACGTGCATGTACATATATATCAATCATTAATGACGAGGTTTAGTGCATGTGAGACATGAATTAAGGAGGATCTAGGCAATACAGAAAAAAGCTGATGGATTAACAAATCATAAAGCTTCAAACATATGGCATAATAATTATCAGTCTCCTTCATTTACTCATCAGAAATACAGAATCAAGTTCATGGATTATCATCCCATGAAATGTTTGGGGCTTTGATATGGAAATACAATCCATGAATATGGATGGGGCCTTAATTAGTATAATAACATGATACTTTATAACAGGGTTAAGAATCTCAGACCTCTTGCTCTTGGAAACATAAATAGACATCGAGGAGAATAGTAATTAAACCAGCTTTTTTTTTTTTGGCCAACAGTAATTAAAGCAGCCGACACTATTTGTGGTCACGCGCTTCAAACAGTAATGCTAATGCTTAGAATTTAGAGTCACAGCAATAAAATGCTCAAATCATAGAGCTCCTAATGTGACGAGTTCTCACACTGACCAAATTTAAAACTGAATTCCAGACCAAACAGAAATTAATCATGAAGATGGCAGCAAACCAACAAAATTTCAACTGGAAAACTTGTGGTATTCGAATCGTTAAGATGGATTGGACACAAAAGTACATGCAACACGAAAGAAACTATACAGAAAAGGTAAGAATGCTCACATTATGACGCAGCTGGAGATCTTCTATGGCTTTGCAGTCAAAAAGAGAAGAGATCCCGTTTGCTGTTATTCCTCCACATTCCTAAACAATAGGGGTCAACAATATTAAAAATTCTATGAACTAAAGGATAGTGAATGCAACATTTTAAATATTATGCATTTGATAAATTAATAAAACGTTATAAAGGAATATGAAATGCCATTAATCAATCACAGTATTGTTCTGAAGTCCCGTAAATAGTGAGCGAGTTAGTGACCAGTTTCTCTGCCTCCACAATGGACCTCACATCTTTCCATCCAAAAATCCACACAGCGTTTTCCCTCAAATTTCTCTAGTATAGCCAGAAGATAAATACAAGTGCAGCTGCTCTTGAAATACAGCTGCCTTGATGAAACTCTAGACTGACAGAGAAGATCATCATTTTAAACAACATATTATCTCTAGTCCTTAATATAAAAGCTAGTTTGATATTTAATTTGGTATTAAACACAAGATCCCAATCAACTTTGTCTCTTATATTTATCCATTTTTTCCCAAGGTAGTTCTTATAGTAGTTGCACATGTTAAATGTCTCATTAAATAGTAGTTCTAGCTAATACATATGATTAGCAAAGATATTTTAGAAAAGACAAACCTACTTATTAAAATAACTAACTTAACAAATTTTCTTAATCTTACTCAAATTAGTCAACTAGCTCTTACATTAAGGATCGCATAATATTTCAAGCTCTAATAAATTGTGAATCATGCAGATTGTGCTTGATTTGAGGGAAACCTGAGCAGTTTGCATACATATTACAAAATAGAAGTCCATTGTTAAGACTATTCTCACCAGGGGTTTTAACTTTTAGCCTTTTGTCCAAAAAGGGGAGGGGAAAAAAAATTATTTTCAATATGTTAAAGCACAATGTACAAAAATTCTTGTTAGCTCATGGGTAAAAAGGAAATTATCAAACCTCTAAATGGATTGAAATGAGGCCTGGCCATCCGCGTGAAATTATACGTTGAGAATCTGCTAAAAGGAGTAATGTAAAGCAAACACGCAAGTTTATCATTAGTTGCTTGAAATTTGCAGTGGTTAACAACTGTACTGCAGACCCCTTCGAACTGAACATGGATTCACATCAAACAGAACCACATCCAGGAAATGTAGTGACAAGTAATAAATACTAACCTGAGTTAAGAAGAGGACATCCTAATAAAGAAAGTTCAACCAAATTTCTGCAGTTTTGGGTAAGGACGTCCAAATCATCATTGGTCATCCAAGGGGTTACTCTTTTAAGCCTCAACTTTCTAAGATTTCGCGTGAAGAATTTGAAGCTTGATATGGACAAATCACCAAAACAATAGCACAGAGCTAACTCTTGCAGGTTTGTCAAGGACGTGGCTATGTTCACCAGAACACTATCAGATATTACCTGTTCAGAATCAAAAAACAACAAACCATCAATGAGAATTTTGAGATAGTCGTAAAATGTGAGAATCCAGGATAGCTACAGAACAGTTAGAACACAGAGACAGATGACAAATCAAACAACGTAAAATTTATTGAATCCAGATATGTGCTTATAAGGAATTGGAAAGATAGGACTTTAGCAGTTGATCAGATCAATTCATGGAAGAAGTCTTCGCTCGTCTGATTGAAGGAGAGGAACAATGATGAAACTAAATGGATTGTAGCTGAGGCATTGCACTAGGTGAAGCTTTATTGTGAAACAAAAAAATAAGCATTCCTAGCTAATGGCATGCAAATCTCCGTATACCATTTCAATTAGATTAAATAAATAATAGAGATAGTTTGATGGCTCGTAAGAATATCTGAGTAGGTAGAAACAGTAACAGCACTATATTATTCATTCTTCTATGAATTGCCCTCCTGGCCGGGATAATTATGCTATGGCTTCTCCTTAACTTGTTGACAGATGATTTGGTCTATAGAGCTTCTCTGTAGAGTGCCAAAAGCACCATTCTTTTTCAGATATGTTGCTTGAACACGTTAACATTGCTACTGCTCCTAAGGGGAAAAATGCTCATCCATTTGGTACAAAAAACTCAGACTCATAACTTTCCGGGATCACATGTACTGCTCTTTAGCTACAGATATGAATTTAAAAAAAAAAAAAAAAAATCCTGGGCCTTCCTCGACTAGCTTAAACTTTTGGGATGAAATGGTAACTGCAATGCCATCAAAGCCTTCATGAATTGGTAAAGAAGTCGATTCTTGAACTTCACCAAATTGTATCACAATTTCATCAATTGCAGCATTTTTTTTCGCTCTTTTTATTGAGGAAGCAAGAATCTGAAATCCAAAGGAAGGATAATGAATACCTGAAACTGAAATATGATTGTTTCCAGCAAGGGACAAATTGCCGGTAGTTTTTTCAATGCATCTTCACCAAGCATTCCACCCAAACCTACATTGATTCTCTGTAACATCATCAATGCAGGTTCCATAGCTTTCAAGGAGAGTGATGAAAAACCCCATCCAAATTCAACTTCTTCCAATCTGCACATCTTTCCTAGCTTGGTGCACAGTTCTTCATGCAAACAAGAGAAGATAGATTCTCTTTCCTCAGTACAACTTTCCTCTTGAAATAAATTACTACAGCCTCTAACTTTTAGACACTTTAAATTTGGGTTTCCACAAATAATACGAGCTAATGCAGCTCCAGAAATCTACAATGAGAAAAATGGATTAAACTAAGGGAAACGTACAATTATCAAAGACAGGACAATACGAATAGAAGTACTAGATAGTTGGGGTCTACAGAGTTGGAATGCGCCAAAATATCTCTGGATAATGGCCAAATTTTATTGGTTAATTAAGCATGTTAATTGTTTATCATTCAGTACTAAGTCAATCAGTAAATCAGACAGAAGACATTAACTTAAGAGGCCATGAAATTCAACAATGTGCCACCCAACTTAATCTTCTATTGAAGGCTTAGCTTGTAATTTCACCAGTTAACAAAATTATCAATTAGCCAGTAACGACCTCCAGATCACAGCACATTGATACTTATCCAATTGAAGGAGACATGGAAATCTTAATCGTTATGTGCCAAGTCAAAATTAGCAAACTAACAGTTATATTTCAGAATTCAAGCAGCATTCCACACCTCCTTCGCCAACTAAATATTGGAGTTTCAGTTTCCACAAAATAATTAGCAATTCTGTAAGTCTGTATAACTATGGAGAGATACACCAAACATGCTAGCAGTCAAGACTCTGATGACAGACCCTGGTATCCGAAACATCAAGTATCTCCAAGGAAGAACCTGGGAAGTTATTAAGTGCTTGATCAACCATGTCTGTCCCTCTCAAGCATAGATCCCTCAGCAGTTGCATTTGAGACATAAGCTTAAGTAGAGACAACTTATTTATACCTACAAAATAAATCACACGTTTCTCTACATAGTTCTTTATGTTGATAATAACTCGAAATGGATTATACAATCCAAACTAAATTTATAAATTGTGCCATACAAGCTATCAAAAATCATAAAGCATCATTGGTCCTCTGTAATGTTCAAATAATTGTAGCAACAGTACTTTTGTCCCTAGAGTTTGAGGAATGTTTCACTTTTGTCTCAAATGTATTTCATTTTCAATTTCATCCTTCATTTATCTAAAACGTATCAATGCGTTCCTAATGGCTAACTCTGATGTGAAAGGAAATACTTCCAAACATGGTAATTTATAAAAATCTACTTCCTTTTCTCTGCTTTGGGTGTTGCGGGCATTTTTCTCTCCAAATATTTAGTTTTACTTATAATGTATGCAATAATAGAATTACAACTTACCTCGGCAGCCCCCCATATGCAGGGTTTGAAGGTTAGATGCTACAGAACTCAAATGCTTATCTCTAAAATGTTGAGAGGAAAAGCTGCCACAATCAGAAATAGCCGAGGAAAGAGCTTGAACTGAATTTTCCCCAAAAGAAGTATCGCAAACCACAATTGAGCTAAGTTTTATACATTTGCCTATGAGATCTGATATGCCAGTGTCTGTGACTGAAACGCATCCTTTAATATTCAGGTGATGCAGTGAAAGACAAATTTTGGAGATGTACTGGAGATCTGAATCTGGCACAGACAAGTAAAGAGCACCTGATTGGTTATTAATGAAAATAAAGATATGACACTGCTGCAAAATCATTTACGTAAAATATGTTCATGATATAAGCAGCTCACCATAGATATCAGTTCTTCCTTCCAAGATGAGCTTAGTAATTTTGGACAGTGGTGGTCCAGATTCATAAAATGAGAAGGCATCCACTGCATTATACGTCACACTAGAAGCCCTCTCTGATACCAGTGATGTCACTGAAAGACTTGATGATAAAATTGAAACTAATGCTGGCATTAGTGGAGTAATATCAACAGTCAAGTCAATTTCACATACCTGCGGGCACTTCAGCACTAATTTAAGAAAAGTGGTTGTTCTGATGTTCAAAAGATAAGCAGCTCTCAATGTTCTTAAAGAAGAAAAGGACTTGCAAAAGCATTCAATGGCATCTTCCATTAGCAATCTTTGACACTTCGAGATATCTACCTCCTGAACTCCTTCAAAGGACAAAGTCGGCAACATTATTTGTGGGAGTGCACGTTTGTCTCCTATGGGGTGTTCAAAGTTATTGTAAAGCAGTTCAATAATATTTCTTGATCTGAGATCCATTGGAGGTGATAGAGGGAGCAGTGACAGAAGTAGAATTGCGTGTGTTATCTGGGGGCAACCTGAAAGGTTCACTCTCTGCATGCAAAGAAAAGTTTCCATCGCTTAATCACAATAAAATTCCTAATATATGATATCTAACTCATTGCAGAGAACCAAGACAAATTGAATCAGACTTGGACACATATATGAAATGAAGAGCATGAATTACAAATACTGAACTAAAACACTAAAAGAAACTAATAACAGGTTTTCTGCACTTTTTGTAAAATAGTTATTATGAAGAGTTCAAATGCCGAAGGCATGGAAGTGGAGCAGCTAAACTCTGCCCAACGCAGACCAAATTGCCTTCACATGTAAGAGTCTGCATATAACTTATACGAATGAAGAACTTATCAGCTAAGTTTTTCAAGAATCTCTTGACAAGTTTCAACAAGGCATCAAGCTTGCCTACAAAAACCACTAGAGTAAGTGTCCAAGTAACTACCCTCAATGACCATTGTCTCATTAAGTATCAACATTGAATAAAGGCTTGCATGTATAATTATGCAACACTTATTCTCAACTACTATTTGGCAATCTTCAAGATCCACAATATTGCTTGCTTCACCCCTTCCCCATCCATACAAAAGAAAGCACCAAAAGTTGGAATTAAACAATCGATCATTAGTAAAGCCAAATTCATATTCAGTGGCTTCCATGTATTCAAAGTACCTTGGAATATTCTGTCAGTCGAATCCTGAGATGCTCCAAGTCATCATATCCTAAACGATTTTGCGAACCTATGGGTGGAATATTTAATTGTCTGAAAATTGAATCAAGGCTTTCTTCAGCAAGCTGTCTAAAAAATGAAGAGTTTCTTTTCCCTGATCAACAAATATAGCAAATTACTTTCCATTATCAAGAAATTTCAACATTAAGTTTAACAAGAAATTACAGTGCCACGGGAAATATCTGAAAAATAGAGCATACCTGCTGCAAACCACAAAGGCAAAAGGCCAACACGAATCTGTTCAGAACCCAAGAAAACAGGTTATTTAAGAAGAATGACAGTGACATAGAGTAAAAATGTTATAAGTAACAAAGTCAATAGTAAGATTGATCGCATATTAAACTAAAATTATATTATGTGTGTGATCAAAGAAGAAAAACTCTCTTTACATACTTATGAAATTTTTTACTAAATTTTTTATCAATTTCTCATACGGTTACCTCACACCAATCTTCCCTGATTGACATAGCACTTTACAAACTTCCTTCTAATTTAAAAGCCACACAACAGTGGGATAGAGCAACCAAGTTCAATGACAGATAATTATATTCCATAAGATTATTTTGAAAAATGTGCAATTATTGTCATTAATTCTCATGTAAGCTTCCAGGAGAGAAGGCAGTGGTGTATAAAATCTAAAACACATCAACATTGAAGTGTTTTACTCAAAAAGGAAAAAAAGAAAAAAAAAAACTATAGGATAATTCAATCAGATACACAACATGGTATGATCAAGTTGAACCCTATGTAAGGAGTTTTACTATCCATGAATGTAGAGCATTATATATTGAGAAGTGTGAAAGTTCCCTTCTACATTCAACCACACATGCCAAGAAACTGCATAGTACATCAAAGTTTTGCAGCACACAAGTGCATAAACTACATGTACTTCATGACATTAAGGTTTCATTTATTACTTATTAGCATAAACCAGTTGTTTAGCAGTGGCAAAATCATTTTTCAGCTCGACTTTTGTTTATATAATAGAGTCATTTCAGCTTGCATTAATAATTTTTCCCACTAGACACAAAATAAAGAGGCATAAATCCTTACTTTTTTCAACATTCTGTAACAGTTGTATTCCTTTCTGCCCAAGGTCTCCATATTTTTGGAGTTACATTCAAGCCAGCGTAAAAGCGCATCAGACAGATGCATTTCACTGTAAAGTTGTTACAGTATCAGATTTGTAAATAACATAGAATTGAATCAAATTATTCCAAGAATAGCGGCAAGTCAACCTGTCAACAGTCAGGTGAGGGTGCTCTATAGAAGACAACAACATATTATACGGAATATTTTCAAATAACGTGCTATGTATTGCCCACATCTGCAAAGTGAAAAACCAGATATAATCAATTTTACCATTTAATAATAAAACAGATACAAAAACACATGATTCACATTATCTACAGAGCATTCTTAAACCCCTTTTAAAAGTAGCTAACACTATTCTGCCAACGGAACTATAGAAGCAAACGAATAATCAAATCCTACTGATCTTGCCAAGCTCAAAAGTGTAAGCATTTCATGCTTCCCCTATTTTACTAATGTTTTCTTTCGTAATCAGGTAGGAAGAAGGTAATAACAAGATTAACAGGAAACCACATTTTAACCTTTTGAAGTAAGAGAATGTCATAAAAAAATGTCCAGAACAAGTTCTTGCACAAATCATTTCAATCCAGCCTTCCAGGGTGTTAAGAACCCCCGACTTTCACCAAAACCACTAGAGATCTAATTCCACAAGTACCCCCCATTGTTAGACATAGGAGAAACAAATGGAGTAAAGTTTCTCAGCTGAATTTAGAAAAAAGGAATTGTGAATTTCCTCATTTAAGTTGGTCTAGACTCTAAAGTGACATAGGATTAAGAATAATAGAAAATCTTCTGACCGTCTAGAAATACATTATCAAAGAGTAATGTAAAATAACAAGGTGGATGTGCAGGCTATACAGAGAATAGGAGCCAAGAACATACAAAATTTCTAGCCAGATAGCTTGTGCATAATTCCATCATAAAATCACTTTCTGCAAATGCAACGCATTAAAAAATTCATCTGTTAGAGTGAATTCCATAATGTTAAAGTCAAACAAGAATACTTCTGATAAACACCAAAATAGCATGTTACCATGCTCCAAACCAAACTTCCAAATCAGAATTATGTCCTCCATTTGCATTTGTACTGGTTGAGATCCTTTGGATGAGGACACATCAGAAAGCCATATTTTGCACTTTGACAGAAGTGAATCCACACCAAAATAAAGTGCACCCTAAGATGTACAAGACAAAGATCAGAAGCTGCCTGCACAACAATGTATGAGATTTAAAATATATATATATATATATTTCAAAGGGTGTAATTCTAGGAGAAACCATATAACCATTAGATATTGGGCAAAATAAAATAATCAGTCAATAAAAAAAAAGGTGATTCTTCTCAGACCAAAAAATGAATAAATAAATAAAGGTAATTCTTCACTGTATAAAGTCATGGATTGATGTTCAATTGAAAGGATAACCCTATTGAAGAATTTAATGCGCCATGATAAATGACATCATATCCTAATTATGTTTATGCCAATTGCCAAATATAATCAATCTTCCATAAAAACAAATGAAAAGGTGCTCTACTAGTATAGTTCAGGAATTGGTTTTTTGCATACTTGCTTTTTGCTCTTCATCTCCATGTAATGGAAGGACAATTACATTTTACAGATTTGAAGTCAGCACAGACTCAAACATAATAAACAAGTTTATAGTCCCAGATTACCCCATGAATATGACAGTTTCTTTGGAGCCAATGAAATTAGACAGGTAAAACCATTTTACAATCTACCTCATAAAGAGAGAGGAAATTATCCGATGTAATCTCCAACGGGAAGCCATACAGATACTTCAGAATGTCCAAAAATGATAGCACATTCCATTCGACAATGGTAGAGCCCAGGCATGATTCACTACAGAAGTCATAGGAAGCGTGTTATCAAGCCAGGAATTGTACAGATCTTCAAATTCAAATAAAAGCTGCTAACTCGTTCATCAAAAGAAAAAAGGCAAAATCAAAAAGGGAGGAACTAAATTAAAAAAAAAAAAAAAGCAGTAAATTAGCCAACAAAACAACAGCAACAAGCCTTTAAAGCATTAGATCAACATGTAAGCAGACTTTAGATTGAAGTGATGATATTCCCACCCAATGGGACTTCTAGCATTCTTTCCGCTCAAAAGTAACTATTCAGTTTTACTTTTACCTGAAGCTCCCACGGAAGAGGCCCCGGAAATAGGAACATTGCTGAATGAGCCTGTCGCAAAAAGAGAAAATAATTTCACAGTGATTACACTTGAGCTAGAAGCAAATAAATTCCCACTCCACAACGGAATCTAACAACCACTAACACAGAAGGGAGACAAAGAACTCGGGTCCTGTTATTACTCACGTTTTCGCGAGAGTAATACGGAAGTTATAGGCAATTGAGTAACTCACCTACTCCGGAGTGCCCGAATTTTGAGCGTTGGAAAACGGAGAATAGTCTGAAGATCCCAGTTGAGAATATCTGTGGTAGATACAAGAATTTCTTCCTCCTCGGTCTCCGTTTCAATTGAATCGGGGTTTTTGAAAACCAGTATAACATGCTCATCATCTGAGCTTGACTCCATGAACTATGCCGGTTGAGCTGATGAACAGAGAGAACTGCGTGTCGTGTATGGCAAAATGGCAGAATGCGTTGCTCAGTGGTTATACTATGGGGTGCACAGCACTCAAATGAGCCAATAAATTTCAAGACCTTGAAAAGGAAGGAAAAATGCGCACAAGTGGAAGTGGCGGGTAGCTCAATGCTGTCGCGCGTTGCTGCTGATAACGGGATGCATATAGCGTGACTAGCAGGCTCAACGGAGAACCGTGGATTAGGGGTCCCAGGGAACGTCCAGCGCCCCGCAGCAGCTCTTAGCCAGAACTGTCCTGCTGTTTATGTTTCCGTCTCCAGAGGCGGCGACGATAGCATGCTAAAATTCATAAGCACGTGCTTAGAAGGTCTGCTCCCCCTCTGGCCAAAAAAAACAAAAGCAGTCTGTTACGGTGTTACCCCTTCTGCATTTGAAAGATGACGAATGAACACTTCTTTTTTTAAAATCCGTTTTAAATTCTGTGATTGATGTAGTATTAACAAAGCTAAGGGTTGAGTCTGGCCATATTAGTCCAGCTAGAACTTTGTTTGAACATTATTAATTATCAGAAACACCCGATCTTAGCCGAGCCAAATGTTGGATTTGACAGCCCAAAAAATGGGTATCCCACTACGGCTTCCCGGAATTGAATTTTCGTTTCTGTTCTCTCTTTTTGGAGGCCATGAATTGCATCTGGGAATGGGAATATGGAGTTCACAAGGTTGCTTCCTTTTTCCTACTCCCCCAACCCCGCCTACCAGTTTTTTTGGAATTTTTAGTGAAGATTATAAATAGTGCTCACAAATCACAAATAATTGTTGTCATCCGTGACGCCATTAGGCATCCCGCCGCCTCATCTTCATCTTTCCACGTTATATCGTCATTTGACCTTTTCATTGTTATTTTGACCAGGCTGGTTGAGTTCTCACAAGTCGTAACCTTTGGGGGTATTTTAATAAAAATCAAATCATGATTTTAAAAATACTTTTACAGCATACTAAATTAAAAGAGTTTATCTTGTTTTATGAAAAAATGTTTTTTTAAAAACACTTATATATTCCCAAACACTCTCTTGGTCATCATGTGGACCCGTTTTTTGCCTCCGGAGTGCTGTGCCTCTGAAAACAACCTGATGCCAGTGAAGGTCAGCCCTTGACACCGTCCAAAGCGAGAGGAGGATCCGTAACCTTGGAAAGCATGCTATTCAAGTTAACATATGCGGTGCTCAGTTTAATTTAAGTGATTTTGCATTACAGCATATATTATCCTGTAAAATATAACAGTGATTTTGAAGGTGTTTCCATCTAAGGTGTTGAACTTACTAGTGTTTCCTTCTAATGAAAGGATGAATTGCACTTGAAATTAATAGTTATGAAGATGCAAAGTAGACAACAAAAATATCAAATTATTCGAAATCATAATACATTTGACGAGTTAAACGATTCATTTTCCTTCATAAATGAATCCCTGCTCGTAACTCTCTCACTAAGAATGAAAATGACACAGAGATCCATATCCCCGAGTATTGGTAATGTTCTCTCCTCCCCACGTCTGCATTCTTATCGCCACTCTTTTATTCTTAAACCAAAACTTTTCGATCAACGTAACGATTTTCCAGAATCATGCAACCATGTAATAATATAGTTTCGATCTTAAAAAAATAAATAAATAACATGTAATAAGAGGGGGAAAACAATTTTTTTAAAAAAAAAACTACGCAATTGCGTAAGAATATGACAAATGAGCCTATTTTTCATCTGTATGTAAACGTTGACTTAGAAAAAAGATACTCTCCGATCCTTAATATAAAACCTAATTATTGAGTTGATTTTGTCCTAAATATAAAACATATTTCTCATATTTATCAATTTTTTTTAAATTATCCATGTGGATATTCTTTCAATCATAATCAAGTAAAAGAGGGAGAGATGATATTAAAAAATATGATTATGATATTTTAAAAAAACATATCATATTTCTTATAATTAATTAGCTTATTTAATTTTTTTAATCTAATCATATTAGTTTAATATGTCTTATATTAAAGACCGGATAGGTATCAAATACATTGCAGAGGTCAAAAAGTTGTGTGAATGTGCGTAACTTATCCCGACAAGATATCAATTTGCAGTCACCAAAACATTAGCATATTTTGGCATGTCCATGGATTTAATTGCTATCAGATGATTTGCTTATTTTTGCGCCGCCAATACATGAACGAATATTTGGAGATTTACAGGCTGTCTGTAAATACTGGCTTTAGCTCTCCGGTAGCAAAATCCTTAGATAACGTGTGGATGTCGTCGCTGGTGTCCATCTTTGGATTTAGGAGTCTGGACAAAACTAAAATTGGTTACGTGTTAATTTGTTTCGATAATTTTATCATATTTACCACATGTCAGGATTTGGCTGGTCCTGCTTGTAACAGAAATGTTGTTAAATACCAAGTTCTTGGATAGCCTCAGCACCATTGCTGAGAGAATCCAATTCTTGTGCAAAAGTTCTCCCCGTTGTTTCCAGAATTTCAATCCTCTGGACTTTATTTTTCATTCTCGGCCGAAATTGGAAAATAATCTGAGGTATCAAACCCCCTCTATCCGTGTTCACACCAGCCGCAAACCACCAAAAAACATAAAATAAAAAGATCACAACTAATACAAAAACGGGCCAATCAGCTTCGTCTCAGTAGACGCCCTATAAAAAAGATCTGACCAATTACGGGGCCAACACCTCGTCACATCCTTCTCCGTTCCAGTCTCAGCTTTTGAGTGTTATTTCTCACTGCATAGATTTGTAACGATCGTCCATGGCGAAGAGCTTCAAGTACGTGATCCTCGGAGGAGGAGTCGCTGCGGTGAGTTCTCCCATCATCGCTGCTCTTCTTCTTATCTAATCCTGTTTGCAATTTCCTTTTATTTCTCAACTTTTTAATATCTTGAGTTATTGCCTTTGTACATGTTCCTTCTGTTTGATCCGCGTCAATTTACGATGGTTTCTGGAATCCCTGCCCAATTCGTTTAAATCCGAGTTATTCGGGACAATTTTAGCGGTCGGAACGGCCTAGAGACTTTAGAATCATGTGAACTCACTGCGTGTTTGGTTTTGGTGATTTTACGGTGAAGTTTTGTTTCCTCTTTCCAACACACTTTTCTTAAAGTCTCCTCAAGCATTTGGGTCTCATGTCAAGACTTATGAATGTTTGGAGGCACCCACTTGATGGGAGTCTGGCTTTTAGTTCCTTGTTTTATTTCATTCGCTCGAACTTGTAAATACGCCATGGCTTATGTTTCAAAGCTTTGAAATGTAATTGCATAGATAAGGTTCGGACTTAACATGAAACTCAAATACTTGGCTTTTTTTGTTTATGGAACAAATACACGGTACTGTTTTGACAAAGCTTCAATTGCATAGGACTGTTCTGCAATTTTTAAATACATATTACAACTGTTCGATACTTCTGTTGGGACATGCTTCGAGATGCCCATATAGCAAGAACATAATTAGGCTTCCCTGCCCGGAAAACTTTTCTTACATATGATTTATTATATCGTCTCCATTTTCATCCACTATGGCTCACATCTGTTCAATATTGTAGGGTTATGCAGCAAGAGAGTTTGCCAAACAGGGCCTTAAGCCTGGGGAGCTGGCAATCGTATCTAAAGAAGCGGTAGAATATATTGCGTTTAATTTCTGCGCTCACACGATTTTCCTTTTTTAACCTTCTTTTCCTTTCCTTTCATTTCTTTGTGAAGGCTTTCCTAGCATGCCTTGGTAGAAAGATGCAAATAATGCTTGCTTTTCGATTGATTTTTCTTTTATTGGCCAAAAACTTTAAATTGATCAGATCACAAACAAATGTTCATATCATTTCATATTATATATCCGTATATAACCTAGCAAGTTGCATAATAAATTTTGGTTGCATTTGGAGGCAATGTTAAATAGACTTTATCTGCCAGTTGTCGGACCTCTAAGCTGCACTTCACATTGCCATGTAGTCTTTATAGTTCATTTTGTAGATTTTGTGAAAAGGTATTCCTTTACATCTTTGATAAGAAATATGTTCCTATCATACTGATATGCTGTTGTCTAAAGTTTATGCATGCATCAAATTCAGTGGGGGCACTTGACCAGCATTTGTCATCCTTTTCTAGGCAGAAAAGATTTCTGCAAAAGCCTGTCCTTTGGTGCAATTTGTCTCTCTGAATGATGATGCCTGTAAAATCATTATCGTTCATTCTATTCATTGTATATCCTTTAGTGCTGTGCTGATTATTCTTTTGAATCTTAGAATCTATTACTTGCACCCTATGCAGTCGTTTCCTCCTATGTATTCCCTTATTCATTGCATATTTGTGTAGGTTGCACCTTATGAACGTCCTGCTTTGAGTAAGGCTTACCTATTTCCAGAGTGTAAGTATCTAAATCGTTAGATGTGCGTGTGTTCTTCTTTCTTCTTGTTCCTCCCTTCCTTGGCTTCTTGGACCAACTTTCTGTGCCAGTGGCTTTTATTACCATAATTTTGTACGCATTGTTGAGTGAATTTTAAGAATTTAAAAGTCAATCGTTAGCTTTGTTGTTATTAATCCTGGTTTCTTGTTTTTCTTTGCAGCTCCTGCTAGACTTCCTGGATTCCATGTGTGTGTTGGAAGTGGAGGAGAAAGACTGCTTCCTGAGTGGTATACAGAGAAAGGTAATGCAGGCTTTCGTAGATGGTTTATTCAACCGATGTGCGAGTTATCTAGTCAAGTGAGAGTTGTACAAAATAGAAGAATGGAACTGAACCTAAAAATAGCTCTCTCATGCAAATTTAACTGGTGATTGCAGGGATAGAGTTGATCCTTAGCACAGAAGTAGTGAAAGTAGATCTTGCAGCAAAATCTCTGATCAGTGCAACAGGAGAAACAATCACTTACCAGATTTTGGTTGTTGCTACTGGCTCAACAGTAAGAATTCTTGCGGATAGAATATGGAAATTCCACATCCATTATTTTTCAAGCTTTATAGGTATTGATACCCGTTGCTCTTGTTTTGCAGGTCATAAGGTTAACAGATTTTGGTACGCAAGGAGCAGATGCCAAAAACATCTTTTATCTGAGGGAGATTGAAGATGCAGATGTACTGTATGCGGCAATCAAAGAAAAGAAGAATGCAAAAGCTGTGGTTGTTGGGGGAGGATACATTGGTTTGGAGCTTAGTGCAGTGCTGAGACTTAACAACATTGATGTTACCATGGTCTACCCAGAACCTTGGTGCAGTAAGTGAAGACCTGACCTGTTGCTGTTTCTCTATGCGCATCTCATCCATTTGTTACTGTTCTTCTAAGTTCTGAAGTTTTGAATCTTTGTTGCAGTGCCACGCCTTTTCACATCTGGTTTAGCTGCTTTCTACGAGGGATATTATAAGAAGAAGGGGGTCAACATCATTAAAGGCACTGTTGTGGTTGGGTTCACTTCTAATTCAAATGGAGAGGTATGATTTGATGTGCTCTCTAAATTCATTTATCAGATGAAAGTTTTGAAGTGGCAAAGCCAATTTAGCATCATGATCTTCATCTTCCATTCAGGTAAAAGAAGTCAAACTGAAGGACGGCAGGGTTTTGGAAGCTGATATCGTTGTTGTTGGTGTTGGAGGAAGACCTCAGACGGCTTTAGTCAAAGGGCAGGTTGAAGAGGAAAAAGGTGGAATCAAGGTCAGTTCTAGAGAAATACCAAAAAATTTACTTAAATATTGTTTCATCTGGCCGTTGACATCCAAGATGGCATTTTGATGGTTGCAGACTAATGCTTTCTTTGAAACAAGTGTCCCTGGCGTGTATGCTGTTGGTGATGTTGCTACTTTCCCTTTAAAATTGTATGGTGAGATGAGAAGAGTTGAACATGTTGATCATGCTCGCAAATCTGCAGAGCAGGCAGTGAAGGTTAGCTGCTTCCCTAGATTCGCATTTCCCATTAATATATCAATATAAAATTAGAACCCTAATACTGTTTTTATGCTGTACACGGTGGATTTTTTTTTCATTTTTTTAAATACTTTTCTTGTGTTCTCAACTTTGCTGTTCTTTTAAAATATCATTAAAGTTTCAAATGCATTGTATTTAAGGGGATTTTTTTCGCCTTGGCCTGGGACATGCAGTGCCTCAATTTACTGCGAATTATGTGCTCAATAGTTTTTTGTTCTCCTAATGCCTATCATTTATCGAAACTCGTGTGAGTTTGTATGTTATGATGTATGATTGATGATGGTATTTTATTCTATATAGGCCATCAAGGCAGCTGAGGAAGGAAAAACAACTGAGGAATATGATTACCTTCCATACTTCTATTCTCGTTCCTTTGAGCTGTCTTGGCAATTCTATGGCGACAACGTTGGCGACACAGTGCTGTTTGGAGACAACAACCTGGAGTCACCAAAGCCCAAGTTTGGAACATACTGGGTCAAAGACGGGAAAGTTGTTGGGGCCTTTCTGGAGAGTGGAACTCCTGAGGAGAACAAGGCTATTGCCAAGGTTGCAAGGGTTCAGCCTCCAGTACAGGATATTGATGTGCTTGCTAAGGAAGGTCTTTCCTTTGCCAGTAAAATATGATTGTGTAAGCTGTTGCTTGGTGATCGCAAATATTAATCCTGTTCTGTATTGACTTCCTTTTACTCTGTATTGTCTCTATAGAGAACTTGTGTGTCTTGGTTTTCTTTCAAATGCATATTTGTTGTTGCAAGGGATATGCTTTGACCTAGCCTTCCCACACCTCTCTCTCTATATCTTCTCATAGTAGACCTGGTGTGATATCTGTGGGAACTGTGAATAAGACGGCAAATGAGATTTCGGCCTCATCACAGCCCTTCTGTTTCGAGGAACACCTGTTTTGTTATTGAATGAAAGGCCTTGCTCGGTTATTGAAATACTCGAAATAAATTTGGATAAAATAGAACAATTATTCACTTGTATGCCATAAAAATAGACGAATGCATCTTTTCATTCTCCAATGATAATGTTATTCTGACATAAATATATACTAAAATGTTTCATTATTGTTTTAATTATTGGAAAATATTTTGTGTTCAATCGAAAATGTGAAAATATCCAATCTTAATTTCCTAAAACCGTAGCATTTTAAAATTACTAATTATTAATAATGAAGAGTAAAATACTGTAATTTATCTTGTATTTTGTCTTAATTACAGACTTTTTTTATTTTAAAAACATATATTTAAGTTTGAACTGTTAATCCTGTTAAAAATATTCTAAAATGATGTTTTTTTAATTAAAATTTATGTCGAACCATTTTTTATTTATTAATTTACCTTTCATGATACTAAATTTTTAAATTTTAGCTAAAATTATTTTGAAAAATTTAAGAATTTTTCTTATATCTTAATTTTATTTTTTATTTTTATAAATAGTAGTTTTTCTAATATTTTTACATATTGGATAGAAAGTTAGATAATTTAGTTAATATAACCAGAATAAAAATTTGATTAGTTCTTTAAACAAATATATGACTGATCAAACAAGCTATAGATGTTTCCAACAAAATTTTTACTTAAAAATTTTAAATTATAAATTTGAATAATTTATATAATATCCCAAACTCACATAATTTATATTATATGATAAACAAATATACATTTAAAATATTTTCTAGCCATTTAAAAGAAATCTAAATAAATAAGTTTCAATATATCATGAAGAATTAAAATTATGTAATTCTATAATATAATCAAAATTTATAAAGTTTATAACATACTAAGAAGTTTGAAAATAAATGTATTATAATTATTTTTTGTTTTATTAAAAATTATTATTATTTTTTGACATATACAAGTGTTTAAATAATGTTAATGTTAAAAAAAGGAATATCTTTGTTAAAGTAATACTAAACGATCAACTAACAATAATTTTATATATATTTTAAAAAATTTTACAAAATATATTTTTATTTTAAAAAAATTTATATATATTTTCCACATTCAAATAAAAAGTTTCTGTAATTTAAGTAAAATAGAAAGATAATCAATGTAATAAAAAATTATTCTGTACAAAATTTTAACCTCGCCCATATATGAAAACAAAGAATATTTTATTTTAAATTTTCTAATTCAGAAACAACGACTTTTCTTCTTTCATTGGGCAAGAAGCCTCGTGCACATTTTGTCGTTTTCCCATCTTCCTCCTCAGTTAAAATACTGTAGGAAACTCAAAGGAAAAGTCCAAGCGGCGGTGCATACTCAAGGGCATTTCAAGTTATTTCATCACCCTTTAGAATAATCCATATCTTATTATGTTTTGGACGACTTCCATTAATTATTAATTCTGGAAACCAGAAAATACCGATTTGCTGGGTGTTCTAGATGGACAAAATGCCATGGCTAGCAAAGATGAATCCAAACAAGGAATTGGTGTAAAAATACGCTAGACCTGATCATTAAGAAAGATCACAAAATTGATTCCAGTAAAAAGGAGTCAAACCCAAATTTAGATTCCAGACATCTTAAAGAAATTAAACTCCAAACAGAAATTTACATGGATCATTGATACGAATGACATGACATTGCTCTTCAGAACAAAACTTCGACAAAACTAGAAGCTATAGACTGAAAGATTTCTAGATAAAAGAAGAATAGAATTAATCGAAGAGGCTGAAGCCCATATCCTGCATCACAAATAAGAGGGGGAAACGAAAATCAATTAACAATTACAAGGATGCACAGACCAACCAATAAACAGTGGAAAAGCAATCCGTTACATAAAAATCCAGATGTCATATTTATATAACCATTACTCAACAACAATTACTTTACTTAGTATTATTAAATTTTAAGAAAATATGTCGTATGGCATTTAAAAATTACTTTTTCCTATCCGACCCGATACTTGACAAGCTCTTAAAACGATGATCAGCAAAAATTCATTTCAGGGGCGAGGCAGAATAATCAGGCAAACAAAACTTACTTCGTCAGATTCTTCTTTCTCCTCCACCTTTTCCTCTTTCTTTGATTCAGCCGCAGCTGGGGCGGCGGCGGCGCCACCAGCTCCAGGCGCGGCGGCCACTGCAACTGCAGCTCCCCCGCCACCAGGCACTGAGGCCAACTTTTCCCTACCACTGGCAATAACCTCCGTTATGTCTTTACCCTTCAATTCAGACAAGAGAAGCTCAATTCTATCATCATCCGCTTCTGCTCCAACTGCACATTGAAATTGAACAAGTTCCGTGTCAGTAGAATGAGAATATAATTTCACAAGTCAAATCTGCATAAACAAAAGTTAAGCATGAGATCGAAGAAAAATAGCAGAGTAAGATGACATTTAAAACTAGTACATTTTACACACATCAACATTTTCATATTTCATGAGCAGAAAATCTAAAACTACCCCAGGAAACTACGTCCAAACGAAAGAGTAATAATCAGGTATGAAAAACAAAAATTGGCGCCCTAGTAGTTTGGTTTCACCATTAACAAGCCCCAGGATATCATGCTCCCTAAACGATTCTACCAAGTAATATACGTAATAAATTTACAGTGATTTAGCCACATGATATAAGTAAACAATTTTCTCTTGCAGCTGATGCTTCTGCATTCTCAACAAATAAGGTATTAGGAAAAGCAAAAAGTTGAGTGATTGAATGTGAAAAGAATAAGGTACCAGAGCCAAGGATCTGCTTGATATCATCGGCGGAAGGGCTAGCGTTGCCACCCAACACGGCGAGCAAGTACGCAGCGATTACCTTCATATTCTGACAAATTATCCGAGCATTCAGTTTCAGAAAAACGTTCTACCCAAATTCCTAAGATAACAAGGGGACCAGAAGCGGGGCATCACCTGGGATTATGGAGATCCGGTCGGGACTGATTATAAGAGAATGAGCGGCGAACTCCAACGCAGACAATCGATTGAAGGGGGATGGCCTTGCAGTTTCATAAATAGTGCTAGGGTTTATTTTCTTTGGGCTTACATGTTAATGGGCCTAACCGATTGCAAGCGATTTGTTGCGAACGTACCCAATATTGCAAGGCGGCGTGATTCTACAAAAAATTGTGGCCTGGATGCTGTAATCTAATTATTTAGATCCCACAATCCACGTGATGTTTTTTTTTTTTGAAAAAATAAAGGATAAATTCATAGTATCTGCAAACCATATCAGAATTTTGCCGTGCATGCTTGTGTAGCTGAAATCTGATTTTTTTTGGGCCAAACTGAAATTGATCTTAGCGTGATTGATATATGAGAGTCTACTGAAAATAAGATTAGTGTGCCAAATCTCTGTTAGAATGCCCTTAAAATTTTAAGTACTATCCTGAATATTGCGAAGTAAAGACAATCATAAATTTGTCCGAAGAAAATAAACGCATCAAAATCATATAAACAACTATCAAAATTAATTAATTTTCATGTTTCCCTTTTTTTTTTTTTTGCTGTAATATGGGAAACCCAACCCACCCGGTATCCGGCACCTTAAGTGGACCCTGACTTTTTTGAGCCCGAAATCCTAGCAACTGACTAATCAGGGCTTGAGGAGATAGAGTGCATAGTTTAACGGGTTAACTTTTCTACCAACAATGATGCTTCTCAAGAATCAAGCTTGTGCTCTCATTTTTACAAGGGGCGAGACCATTTATCATCTCAACTAACTGCTTGTTGGTAATTTTCATGTTTCCTTGTGTGTGTCCCCAATATGTTCTATATGTATATAGACGATTTTTTTTTTAATAACCTGATATCTTCTGCGTACCTAATGCACTCGAGAAACGTCATAATCTAAAAGCGATTAATTTATAAATGATAGGCTCCTATGCTTTCCTAGATCTCTCCTTGTCGCTATATGTCTATCTATCATTTTTATAAAGCCGGGTTATCTCAATACCTTTGATTATTCTATGCATAGCTGGTAAAAAAAAAAAAATCTTCTACGCATGAAACTTGGACACACTATCTTCCACGCATTGTTTCTGATAAAAAAAGTTAAGAGTGTGAATCATGCTATAGGGAGTCGGTTACATTATTATTATAAACAGCGGCCTTTTTCAAAATCTGGTCTTTAAAATGAACTAGAGATACATTATTGCACTTGCTCGACGTGCTAAATCCATCTGCATATTGGCAATTGCATGAAAATAAAATAAAATACGAATGAGGTTAATTTTGTAGATGGAGCTGGAAGAAAAGTGACGATAGTGCAGAATGAAGAACGTGACACATGACAAATAATGTCTTTGTAATGCTCTAAAACAGGGCAACGTTCACAAACCAAATTCCACGGAAAGAGACCATGCAACCAATCAACGTGCCCAAGTGACTCACGATTATTACGTTTAAGCGCAGTGGCAGGCGAGCTGCAAAGTGCTGATGGGCTAATGGCACGCACCGTGCCAGATCGCAAGGCGGTTAAAATGCTGGACTTGCTCAAACTCTGTTTTTTTTTTTAAAAAAAAATGTGCGTAATTGACCAAAACAGAGTTTCTTTTTTGGGTCATGCGGAGCACGTGCGTTGTCCAGCCAAAAATTTATTATGTAGGAGAAGTGACAAAAATTAAATCCTAAGTATCGCGTGGCAGGTGTTGAAAGTCGAAGGTTTCAGATTTTACGATCACAAAAAGGTAGGAATATTATATCATAGTTTCCGTGACGGGAAAAAACATGACTTTCCCCTCTTTTTCCCCTTCGCAAGTTTGTTAGAGGAAACAAACAGATATTCCAAGTCTAGGAAGTAACTTTAGACGGAGGGAAGGAGCAAAGAAGCCAGAAGGGCGGTGAATAATGACAGGTTGGAAAGAAACGCACCACAAAATTGACTGCGAGTCCACGCCATGCCATGCATATGCTCTCATTGCTCTCTCTGTTTTACTACTAATTAATAAGTTGCCCTCATTGTTCAGTCAAATTCAATCCCTTCCGTTCCATATTTCCTTTATAGGTGGCCCCCCCATGCCTATGACTGATACGCCTTTTGAATTCAATGCTGCTTCTAAATATATAAAATGTATATAATAAACATGCTTTTGTCTTTAGCATATCTCGCTGACAATGAAAACTCGAGAGTTGAATATCCATATATATATATAAATCACATTTTTTTAATTATAAATTATAAATACTCAGTGTATGGAGTTCAGGATTATTAATGTTTTGTGTCTTGCTTGTATGTCCTTCTGATTCCTGAACTTGTACAAAAATCATAATCAACTTCTTACTTGACTAATGAGCCCACTGCAATGAATATCTAAATGTCTTGATTTTATTTTATTTTTTACGGGAATCACAAGTGAACGGGGACAGGCTGGAGTGAAATTGGAGATGGGCACGGCTTCATAGTAAGGAGAGCGACCCATAAATAGGAAATACCGCCAGCATAATAATGGATGAGAAAGAAAAAGTGGGTTATGAAACACTTGAAAACAATGACTAAAGGGTGTTTGGCAATATAAAACCATGGTTTTAAAAGCATTTTTGTAAAACGAGACAAACTCCTTCACATATTTGCTTCGTAAACCGTAAAAACATTCTGAAACCATGATTTAGTTTCTATCCAAACACCCTTAAGACGACCCCAGCATTGACAGGGCTTTAGGCTTAGGGGGGTTTTGGTAGTTTCACACACTTTGAGGTAATTTCTAATTTTCTGGATATTGTAAAAAATTATTTTTAAGATTATGGCTTGGATTTTACTCAAACCCCTCTTTAACCTAAGTTTGGAAAATGGAGATAACACCCACAAACAGCACGGAAGGAGTCAAAGGGGCCAAATACAGAATCCGTAGTAGAAGAAGAAAGGCAGGTCAAGTACGGCATCTGCATCCGTACAGTAGCGGTGCACCGAGGTCACTTGACAATCATCGCAAGGGTGATCGGGTTGCTGCCGCCGGGTACCAGGGTTAGTGTTATTTTATTCTGAGTTAATATAATTTTTAACTTTTTAAATTTGTCCTCATTTTATTTTAATATTTTAAATTTTAAATTATAGATTTTAGTTCTTCTAAGACTAAAATAATTTAGGTTTTTATTATATTACATAGATTAATATTTTAAATGAAAAAAAATTTGAGAAACCAAAACTAGTAATTTAAAATTTGAATGAAAAAGAGGTGTATGGAATGGAAGAAGTTGTGAATTTCACAGAGGCTGAAAGAAATTAACGCTGTGTTTGGCTCGATGGAGGAAGGAGGGGAGGGATTTTAATCAAGGGAAGGGAGGGGAGGGGAGGAAAGGGGAGGGTAGCTACAAAGGGGAGGGGAGGGAGGAGGAAGGGAGGGGAGGGATTTTAATGATATTCTGTTTGGATTGATTGGAGGGGAGGGGAGGGAGCAATTTTAATAATACCTTATTTTGTTCTAATAAAAAATTAACTATTTTAACCTCATAAAATTTAAATGAATTTTCTCACTTTTTTATTTTGTTAAGATATAACTATATATATATATATATATAATTCACCAATTTTGATTTACAAGACATAATCACACACTTATAAAATATCAAGATAAAAAGTTACGAGTGATAGATTTCAATCAGAGAAAAGATCTTGAAGGTGAAAGAAAATACCAACAATCTCTTGGAATTAGAAGAAGAGAAAAAAAAAGTTTACAAATGCTCACTAATTTTGGAGACAATTATCTTAATAACCTTTTGTTAGATGCTCAAAAAAACTCTCTTATGTAGAAATGTTTACGACTGATTAGAGGTTAACAAATCAAAAGGGTATATAAGGAATTAAAATATTATCTCTCATCTCCCCTCCAAAAAACCCCACTTTTGGAGAGGAGGCTAGAAGGGAAGAGGGGGGGAGAAGAATCCTCCCCTCTTTAAAAAACATCTTAACCAAACGAGAGAAGGAGAGGGGTTTCCCTCCCCTCCTAAAAAATTACACCAGCCAAACAAGGGGAGGGGAGCAACCTCCCCTCCAAAAATCCTGTACCAAACATAATGTAAAGGTCGTGAGGGGGTGGGTGGTGGCTCTCGGCCAATACACAATGTACACGCACTCGATATCTCTCTCTCCCCCCCTCCCCAATGCCGTCCTCTCCTCACTTGTTTTCCTTCTTTTAAATACCACCACACATTTTCATACTTATTTATCATACTAGCATGTTTTTTTATGCGTAATGCGTTACTGATCTCTACATTTCCGAACGCAGGTCATCTGCAGCCATTCACGACACGAGTATACCCACGGATGCTGTTAAACTAACGATCGCAGATTATTAATACTCTTCCGATTTTATAATTAACTAATTTTAATAGATTAAAGATGTTAACCAATTTAATATGATACTCTTCTGATCCTATTTATAAGGTACTTTCACTATATTTTACATAGATCAAGAAAAACCTTAAACTTTATTAACTCTCGTTTAAGATTTAATGACTTTCTAATTTTGTCCTTATTTAATATACATTATACCTCATATAAACAAAGTCAACATAATAATAAATGCTGAGTAAAATTGGTCTCCATATAAAAAAATTCTCTCAATGTCTTATAAATAGGACCAAAAAATATCTTCTCTTTTTGTCTTATAAATAAGACCAAAGAGTACATCTTTTCTAAAACACAGCAAGCATCCACCTTAATCCCCTTCTTTCTTATCCTAATTAATTATTATTAGAAAAATATCAATAAAGTTAATATAAAAAAATTAATAAACATATTAAATAGATCTTACGAAACATATATGATTAATATTAACTTTTCTTCTCAACTAGATATTGTATTAGACAGAGTACACCCGACTTTTCACGCTTTTTACGCTATAAAAAACAAAATAGACTTTCCACATCACCCTTCCTCCTCAAAATGCATACGGAAATTCCGAAAACATAAAATCCTCGCAAAGTTCATGAAATGAAACTAGAGAGAACATTTTACACACCAGCACTGGTGAACTGCGTACCACTGGGTATGATCCTTTGAGAAGTTATCATCAAAATATCAAATTCTGTTTCGTCTCCTTGCTGTTCTCTCAATGCGTTTCCCACTCTTCATTATACGTTGGCCCCTGTTAATCAAACGTCTCTTTCACACCCTCCGTTCTGTTCCTACCTCCACGCGCGGCTCCTACGTTGCTACCCCACGCGTTTGTATTCTCCAGAAACAATTCTTGTCCTTTTCCTCAAAATAACGCCCTCAGAAGATGGCCAGTGCAAGGTCAGAAGAGTTATGAGGAGGTGAAGAATATATTAGCCGACACAAACAAACATTTACACATCTTTCATGCACTTAATCCTATCATGTTTTTAATAATCGTAATTTTTCTCGAACTGATCACATCACAATTACAATAATAATAGCGATCACCTTACGTTGTCTGTTTTGTTGGCTCATCTTTAGCAATTAGCACCTGTGACGTGCTGTGAGATCATTAAAATACTATCCCAACAGCATGATACGTTATTTCTCCGTTCCTGCGCTGAATACGAGCCAAGGGCACATGGGCATAGAAATAATCTTATCTGACCCAGCATTCTTCTCTGATATAATTTTTTTTTTGTTGGTTACGGATAAGCTGGTTGGAATCAAATTAGTTGGACACACTCGTACGAATTGTTTCTTAATGAGCATACAGACATGATGTCCCACCTCAACAGAAGAAGTGAAATCAAAATCGTCCTTGCCCTTGTGCTGGTAGTTCTCACTGATGATATATTATTGATCGTAGACTTGGTAGTTTGAATTCACTTCATTTTAAGGCTAATGACTATGACAGATGTTGATTAGATATAACAGGATCTTTCAATAAACTGTGATTGTGAGAGATATTTTCGTTATATTTTGGGCAATTTGAAATAAAATAAAAATGGAAAAAAAGGAACCATGATGTATCGGTCTGTCTTCTATCAATATAGTATTCGTTTTATACAAATATTTCTTTATTTATTTTTTTTTGCCATTAACAAATATTTCTTTATTACGAGTATAATTTTTACAAACGTAAATTCCTCAATCTCATTTTCTTCCCCGTTATTTTGTATTTTGTAATGGAGTTTGACTCAGAAGATGGTTGTTATGTGACCAAGCGAGTGCTCTGCAGACGCTACGGTGCAGCGCGTACCAGAACCCAGCAGTGATTAAATAATGAGGAAATTTAATCAAGTCATTAAAAAAATAACAAGTTGGTTTCTCGGTCAAGCTCAAGCAGTGTTGGTAGTGTTAGTATGCAAATATATACAAAAGCCCCGCTTATCCAAAATCTAGCAAAACCGCTCTCTGACTTTCCCACCTCCCAAGCGCTCGCTCCCTTGCATGCACATAAATTCCACATACAGAGATATCCCTCTCGGATTTTGCTGTCTCCGGTGTTGGTTTCCGTGGAAAAACCAGAATCTGCTTCCTTGACCCAGTCCCTCATGGAAGTTCAAACCCACACCGTGTCCGGCTTTGACCTTCAGTCTAAGTCGCCATTCCCGTACTCCTTCAGCTCCATGGGCTCACCCACTTCCGACATTCATGCCGACGAATTCAAGCCCTCCGATATTCCCGATTCTTCATGTCCGATCATTCCGGTAACTGATAACTCTGAGCTTGAAGCCTCGCCTGTTGTTTCTCCGACGGTAGACGATCTTAAACCCGACCGCTTTGAAATGCCTTTCGCTCCCAATGGCGGGGAGGCTTCGCCGGTGCCTGACGGGAGAATAACGGCCGCCGACGGCGAAGACGGTTCGGGACAGGGAACTGGGTCCACTCAGATGTCGGCGGCGCCAAAGGCGCCGGCGGGCGCGTGTCCTCAGACGAGTGCCGTGGTGAAGTTGCAGAAGGTGTACAGGAGTTACCGCACCCGGCGTAGACTGGCAGATTCGGCTGTTGTTGCTGAGGAATTATGGTGGGTGCCCGGATACTATTTTCCTTGCGCTTTCTCTGTCTTTTTTATTTTATTATGCAAAAAGTTAAAACCGAGCTTATCATGGTGAAGGTGGCAAGCGATAGACTATGTTAGGCTCAATCAAAGCACGATTTCATTCTTCGATTCACCTGAAACTGCTGTATCACGGTGGAGTCGAGTTAGATTGAATGCTGCCAAGGTATGGTTGGAATCCTTCCTCTGGGATCTTTGGTTTTGGTCTAGTAGTTGTGGTTGCTGTTTGCAGGGTCGTTTTTGGCGATATGCTTGATTGTGATCAATCAGAAAACAATCTGAGTTTGATTCAAATCGATTTTGGACTGTTTGGGCAGGTGGGCAAGGGTTTGTCCAAAGACGCTAAGGCACAGAAGTTGGCCTTTCAGCATTGGATTGAAGCTGTAAGTACTGCTTTTCATCTCTTTCTCCGTTTTTTTTTTCCGAATTAGTATGTTCTTCAGGGATGCTTAAACCCCTGACTCTTATTTCTATTGGTATTGTACTTCTAATTGTAGATTGATCCACGCCATCGGTATGGACATAACTTGCATAAGTATTATGAGGAATGGTGCAAAACTGATGCTGGTCAACCATTCTTTTATTGGTGAGACTAGTTTACCCGAGCAAAAGACTGCTATTCCTTTTCTCTGTTTTCTTTTCTTTTGCCCCGGATGATGATTGAGGCTTGATGAGACAACTTAATTAGTGTTGAATTTTTCTTAGAGCGAATGGGGAGAGCCCACTGAAAAGCTCAAGTTTTGTCAACGTTCTGCAGGTTGGATATAGGAGGAGGGAAGAATTTTGATCACCCGGACTGTCCCCGTTCAAAGCTTCAAAAGCAATGCATTAAGTACCTTGGACCTGTATGTGATTCTTTAGAATGAACCCCCCCCCCCCCAAAAAAAAAAAAACAAGTGTTGATAGATTATATTGTTTGTCCTGAGTTTTTCTTTTTCTGGTTTCTTCAGCAAGAAAGAAAACACTATGAGTACATTGTGGAGGAGGGCAAGATCGTCCACAGTCCATCTGGAGATCTCCTTCATACGAAAAAAGATTCTGAAAATGCCAAGTGGATATTTGTAATGAGCACCTCTAAGAAACTTTATGCAGGCGAGGTAATGATTCAAGCTCAGTCATGTTTTCAAGTTTCCTATTTTCTTCCTTAGACGTCTTTCCAGAACCACTAACACATTTCGACATCCTTCCAGAAAAAGAAAGGATCATTCCACCATTCCAGTTTCCTAGCTGGAGGAGCTACATTAGCTGCTGGTAGGCTGGTTGCTGAGCATGGTATTCTTAAGGTAGAATAATCTTGTTCTATTAAACTAGTGTTGTAATCGAACCAGCCGTACGATGATCCTGATCCCACTTTATTGTGCTGAAACATAACTTTTGATTCTCTACGGCTTTCCCTTTCGCAGTCCATCTCTCCTTATAGTGGACATTACCGGCCAACAGATGACACTCTTGACAGTCTCCAATCGTATCTCAAGGAAAAAGGCGTCAACCTTGATGAAGTTGAGGTGATTGATTAGAATAAGGATCATTTTCTTTCCGTAATGCTTAATCCTAGTTTCTTAGATTACCAAATCTTGGTCGTAGTAGAACGCAATCCTCTGATTAGGACGAGGACATGGATGGCCTCTGCAGTTGACTTCATTATTCCGTACTTACTTTCCTTATTGATATTGACTAGTCTAATCCATGGTTCCAGATACACAAAGCAAATGAAGACTCAGATATGTATGAGGATGGAAAGCTTATAGAAGGAGCAACATCTGAAGCATCAAGCACGGCTGAAACACGAGAGCACGAAATTTCTGAGGAAACTGAAGAAGGAAAGGAAGAGAATCGACCGCAACCAGGAGGTGGTTATCAAAGGACTCTGTCTGGGGGCCTTCAGAGCCCAAGAGCCGAAGTGCCCGAGAAAGCTATATTGCAGAGAATCAATTCAAAGAAAGCTGCAAGATCCTACCAATTGGGGCACCAACTTTCTCTCAAATGGACAACAGGAGCTGGACCCAGGATTGGTTGTGTTGCAGATTATCCTACGGAGCTCAGGGTTCAGGCCTTGGAGATGCTCAACCTTTCTCCCAAATGTCCACCCACCCCTTCATCTTACAGGCGCATGGGGACGCTTCTATCACCACCGCCTCGTCCAACGCCTCGTAGCACTAGAGACAACGATGATGGAACTGCTAACAGTGGAACCACTAAAGACTAAAACGACCTTGGCGTTTATGCTGCTGCTCACATCGTAAATGCTTTACGTTTACCGCCTTTTGGTGGCAGGTGCTTTTGTTATAAATGTAGCAGATACCTATCCTTACATGTCACCTCAGCTTTTAATTATTTTGTAGCCTTGTCTAGTTGTTGTTATCTTCTCCATCCACGCTTGCCTCCACTAACGGCAATTCAACAAGGTATTAAATGTGATCGATCACCAACCAGTCAGGGGCGTGTGGGTGGAGGAAAAATTTTGTTCGTGCTTAATGTATTTGGGCTAGGGCCGAGATGATGTAAAATTCACTACACGTTGCCTGGTTGCACAAATCAAAATAGTGTTATGGAAAATTACAGTTGAGAATTGCGCGTCGACGTGGTGGCGGAAGAGGTTGAACCACTCGGCGTCAGCAGGGCGTGGGTGGTCTCACGGGTCCAAACTCAAAATGAAGGGACAGGAGCCACAAAAAGCCTTAAAGCCATGTGTAGTTGTTTCTGTTTTTCACAAAAACAAAGTTGCTTTTTGTGGTGTCTCCCTTTTGAGACATGGTGACGATTGCATTTCTAGCTGCGAATGGGGTTTGAAACACGAAAGCCTGCTTCCCAATAATTACATTTAATAAGCAAATAAATTAAAAATAATTACAAATAAATTAAAAATGGGGTTCGTTTCAAATTTTTCTATTAAACAAAATGTTCACATATTTTTCTAAAATAAAAACTATAAATAGTCATTGCATTATTATTATTAAATATTTTTAAACATAATACAAACTCTTTCAAAACAGAGTAATTCACATTGAAATTTTTCTTTTTAAAATTATATAAAATTCTTAATTTTAAAATCCACAGGAAAATCTAATAAAACAAATAAACAGCAACCGCGCATTTTTTTTGCCTCCTCAGCAGCGGTCGGAGATATTAACCGTTTGCTGTTTTTTTTTTTTGGGTGACAACTGTTTGTTGCTTTGGGTAGTCAGAGAGCCGGAATGGTTTTGAAGGGCATGGCGTAACCATGAGAAATATGCGGACCTGGCTCTCCTCCTTTTCTCTTACGGTACGCTGCCCTCCTCTACCCCAAAACTACATCGTTTTGGGGTAAAATGGGGACGCTGAACACCTTTTTTTCCCCTTTCCTTCAAAGATTATCTAGCCGCCTCAATTTTTTTTTTCAGTGATATCTAACATGTTAAAATAATTTATAGTACACTCAGAACTCTTTGAAATATTTTTCTAATACTATCCGGTATCTAATATCTTGTATCTAACAGTTTAAAATATTTTTTGAGTAACACTCAGTATTTAGCAACTGGCACTGTAAAATCTTATTTAGTAGCATCCAATATTCTAAAGGTGATTTTTTTAATGCATTTAAAATCTGAAATATTTTTTAGCAGTACCCGGTATCTTAAATAGTTTAAGATACTTTTTACTACTTAAAAATATTTATATTAAGAGTAAAACTGCACTAAAAATATAGTTTAACAGTTCCATTGAAAAAAAGATATCTTGTTACATTAAGTGCAGTAAAGATTATTTTAAGATATTAGATACGGTCAAAATAATACTTTAAACTATTAGATGCTTTTTTTTTTTTTGGGGGGGGGGGGGATGCCTGCGTCCCCATTTTACCTCAAAACGATTTAGTTTTGACTTTTGAGGATAAAGGACGGGAGCGGACGGAAAGCCAGTTTCGAATTATGCCCAGTCAAGCCTCTCCAGACATGGGAACAGATAAAAAGTCCTATTCACACCATTCATAAAGATAAAACGAATTTGACAAATACTTACAAATAATAACACACTTCTATAAAAAATTTATTTTAAATTTAATAATTTCAAAATTCTTTTTATGAAATTCTCTCAATTTAATACCGCCTTCTGTCTTTAATAAAAAAAATATAAGTTGTAGATGTCATATCAAGATTCAGAGGTGATATTTGAAATACAAAACATAGAACTAATGGTTAGTCGGTATTCTAAACCGAGGACTGTAACATCACCCGAGTTGGCAATGCATCCCGTGCCATCACAAGAGGGATAACGTCCGCTAGTGGTGTGGGGCCCACAAAAAAGGGTCATCAAAGTTGGAGCTTGCGTTTCATCAATACAGTATGAAAAGACCAAAGTGTCTACGAAATTAATATTTTTTTTAAAAATAACCTAAGTATCTTCATGGTTTTTTTTCCCCCAAAAAAAATTCCACCACAGTTTGCTGCCATTCCCTGATGGTTACACTTGTGTTTTTTTTTTTTAAGAAAAAAATCACTGGCAGATAAAATTCGATGGCATGCCATATTATACGCACCATTAAGTAACAGAAATTATTTCTCAATTAACGACAGGAGATGCACTGCACCAAATTAACCACAGAATGTAAAGAGCTATATACAGATGATGAAGGATATAATCATAATTTATATAAATGCCCTAAATACTCATCTCTTAGCGGCATATTTCTTATCAATATTAGACAAAACAATCTCCTGACAGCGAACAACTCCCCCTGCTCCTCCATAGCACAACCATCTCTCACTGCCCTTGTTCATGTTCCATCTCACTCTATGCACCGCTACTATTTTGGGAGGAAAGGCTTCAGCCACACTCCCTCCGCTCATTTCGTTGTCACCGCCTAGACCACCTCCACTCTCATCTTCTACACACACTAAAGCTTGGCTATCTACTGGTTTTTTCTTATTGCCACCACTTGATTTTAGTTTTTTGGGTCTGTCTGCAGTAGTCGGTGCTTCCACCGGAGCCAATTCCAAACCCGAATTGTCACCATCATAAAGTACTGAGACAAAATTTAAGAGCCCGTAGATAATTAGAGTGAAACTATACTAGCTAATCAATATTTGTATGCAACGAAAATTTGCCAGGGGCGTACCTAAAGCTTGAGAATCAGGATTAGAATGTGTCATCATCTGATTATTCGCACTTCCATTTGCATTTGACTCGTATAAAAATCCCCGGAAAGATGATGCAGCATGCCGACCCTTGTCAAAAGACTTCTTCAATGGGAAAGGGGCATTTGAAACAGGAGTGCTAACAGTGAGAGTTGATCCCTCCTCCCAGAATGACCCGCAAAGAAAGTGGGGGACTCGATTGCGGGCATGATCTGACTCCACTTCTTTAGCAGTAAGCTGAATACATGAAAGCAAAGCTCAGATGAAGAGAAAGACGAAGTTTTTTTTCCCCCCTCCTTTTTTGGGGGAAGGGGGGACCAAAAAAAGATTTGATTTTGGTTCCCCTCCTATTCCACACCAACAACTGCCATCATAATATTTCTTCCAGCCAAAATATAGTTACAGACGATTTATTGAAAGTCATGTAAAATTTTTGGCAAAATAAACAAATATAAGCTACTTGCAAGTCTATAACCAAGCCTCCCTTTTTTATTTACCAAGCATAGAGTAAAATTTAAGTTTATCCTGACTAAAAGCAAGAGCCAGATATGAGATACAAGAAGCGCCGATATTCAATATGGTTTATTGCAGCTTCAGTGCTATCTATTTACGTAAGATAGGCAGCTAGTTTTTCTCCCCCAACTAAATATCCACAAATACCAAAATCAACAAAGCGAGGAACGAGAAGCCAGTCACAGCAGACCAACTCCCTTGTCAGATTGAGTAGTTTGATCATAATAAATTCATATAAAATCTAGGGTTTAGGTGTATACAGCATCCCAAAATATTTTCTTGGATGTATTCAGCACCTTAAAGTATTTTTTTAGATGCGTCCAATACTATAAAGTATTTTTTGGTGCATTCAGCACCTCAAAGTTGTTTTTTTATGCGTCAACATCCAAAATATATTTTGGTGTATCAAGCACCAAGGCAAAAATACTTCAAAATACTAGATGCAAGTCCTGGATGCACTTGAGAAAATACTTCTGATGCTGAATATACCTCAACCCAATGAGAATGAATCACACACACAACATCATGAAAAGAAGCGATGGCGGTGATCACAGGTGGACTCTCTGGCATAATGTTCAACTTACCTGAAAACGGACGGCAGAACCATCTGCACTGCAATAAGCAGCCATACCTACAATTAAACAATGGCGGTACTCAGCTTTAAGAACAGGCTAATGTTTGCAAAATTTAGCTGAAATTATTAGACGTTGAGTGTTGTGGGCATTACTTTGCAACACACGATATTTCCCTAAACTGAAATTCTTCCACATGAGATGCAATACTGACGAAGTCACAAAAACAATGCGTAGTAAAATGTAGTACCTGTTATTCTTGATACATGAACACTCCAAATAGCAAAGGATGAACGAGTGGAGCTATGCAACCCAGGATGTTTTTTCCCACTTAATCTTTTACCACTCACGGGTAGGTCATTTGCAGCCTTGGCCAGGCTAAGGGTTCTCATTGTGCCATCTTCAAAAGTCATGATAATGCAACTACAAGCATATATAAACAAATTTAGTCTGAGATTACCGTAATAAAAGGACTGGATAGCATTTGATGCAGTTAGAAATATAAACTACCTCGGGTTTGACAGCCAATCCAGACTATAGATGATCCTTGGAACAGGATGGAGCTTCCGCAAAGGATAAAACGGATCACTGCAAACAGCACAAGTTTTGAGTGCTATAGGTATTACCACGATAAACAAGTTGAACAAACCCCAAGGCCAAGGGAATTTCATGGAAATGATGAAATATGAACATCTGTCCTTTAACCTTTTATGCCCAAGGAAACAGCAAAAATACTTTACCAGTTTGGACATATAACAATGTGATAAAACACTGCTTTTCTGGTTTAAATTTATGCAATTCCCACTTCATTGATAGAGAAGATTTTCAGAAAATAATGTCTTTGGAAATTTGTGTTTATTTCAAAACAATAGATGCTGCGCATAAAAGGAGGTAGGCCACAGGAGAACCAACCAATTAACTAAACCAAAGAAGTAAACTACAGGAACTAGAATGCAAAATGGAATAATAATACTGGAAGCAAATAAAGAAATGAAACCATTTGACTTCAACCTATTAACATGGCATGGGCTTGCTGGCCTAGCCCCAGCACTAATTCAGCCCAAAGGACTTGATCCCAGAGAAGCAAGGAAGAACAAAGAACGAATGGACAAAGGGTAGGACGTGGGAGTTGGAGGAGAGATGCTGTGATGGCCAAGCGGTTATGAAGAACCAAAGCATTGATGGAGTGTTAAAAATCAATTTTTGGAAGCGTTTTTGCAGGAGACTCGAGTCTCCCAAAAGCATGAGATTGTCTGTCATTATTCTTGTGCATTTTGCATCTGTTTGGTTACTGCTTTCTTTAGAGTCTGTGATATGGAAGGTTGATTGCCCTGTAGCTTATTCCTTGCATATCATGCCTACAGTATATTTCTG